GGGGGGCTGTTACCACCCCTCCTGCTTACCCACTGAGGAAACTGAGGTACAGAGGGCCATCTCCTGCAGTGCTGGGCAGCCGAGGGTCCCGGTCCCTCGTGCGGCTCTGTGCCGCCCCTCCAGACAGTCACCTGTGGCCCAGGCCCTGGGGCTTCGCCCCACAGGAGGAGGAGGAGGCGGCCAAGTGATGCTGGCTGCCCCCCACTCCATCTCCTCTGTGTGCCAAGGTCCTGGCCACCCCCAGCCGGGGGGCAGCTCTGCCCTGACCCCGAGGTCCCACGTCAGCCCTGCTGGCTATGCCTCTCGCCCTGCTGCCCCTCATGCCTGCACGTCCGGCCGACCCTCCCTGCCCCACTGTCCCCTGCAGGCTGTCCTGTGGGGCTGGCCTGGGGGTGGCCCTCACCCTCCGCCATCTGCACTGGGCCACCTGGATCTGCGCCATTTCTGGGGAAGCGCTGGTCCCTGGGACTCAGCGTCTCATCTGCCAAGTAGAGCTGAGGACGGTGACAGTGGTGCCGTGGCATGTCCACCCCCGTCCAGGCCTCGCCCTGTCCTGGGCCACTGTCCTCCTGGCCCCTGAAGCTGACTCAGCCTCACATGGGAGACTGGCCGATCAGTCCCGGTCCCGGGAGGGCCCTGCCTGTGCCGCCCCAGCCCTGCGCCGCCTTCCTGCCCCCTGACCTGCAGTGAGGGCCTACGGTCGCCCTGCAGATGGCACTGAAAACACCTGCCTCCGTGTCGCTGTGAGGACCCCTCAGCCCCTTGTGCTGTGTGGGGCTTGGTTCACCCCTCTTTACAGGTGGGGAAACCGAGGCTCGGCTCTCCTGCAGGAGAGATGGGGTGGGAAGGTGGAGAGAATCCCAGAACCTGGCACAGGCCAGGCTCAGGGGACACATCGCAGGAACCGCATGCTGAGCAGTGCCCTGGGTCCTCAGCAGGCCCGTCCCCCTGTGGTCAAGGCCACTGTGTGCGTGGGGTGCCCCACAGCATGGTGTGCAGTCCTGGATATTCATGGCTTTCTGCACTGACCCCACCTGCCCCCCTTCCTGACCTGGCCCCGCCTAGACGAGGGCAGCCTCTGCCTCTTCTGGCCTCATCCCCTCATCTGCAGGAGGGGGCACCGGCAGGCTTGTGGTGGGTAGGGTCTGTGAAGGGTTAAGTATGTGCTGGAGGTGCTGGTGGTAGGGAGCCCTTTCCTGCCCGGCTTTCTCTTCCCATTGTTCCTGGCAGGAAAAAGCATTTCCTCCATGAGGTCACCAGCCCAGGCAGCTAAAAGTGGGGGGGTCGGGGCTGCCTGGGCAGGGCAGGCCCAATACTTCTTAGGACACCTTGGGTCCCCACCTCCTCTCCAGCTGAGCGTCTTCCTTCTCTGCTGGAGCCTGGGGCTGCCCCACAACCTCCTCTGGCCTTCAAGGCTGGAAGCAGAGTCACCTCCTCCAGTCAGCCTGCTCTGATGCCCGGGGCCTCCCTGGCATGTGGTCCAGTGAGGCCCTGCCCAGGGCACCGAGACCAGCACCCTCGGTGGCTCCAGGGACTGTGGACAGATAGGGCGCTCTGAAGGCACTGGGTGTGGGGCCCGGCTGAGTGGCCAGGAAAGCCCTTCCCTCTGAGAAGCTCTGCCTCACTGGGACAGCAGGGGTGTGAGGGCGGCTGCTGAGGCCGGTCCCCCTCGGCTCCCCCGCTGGCCTGGGGTCGCTTGCTCTGCTGGCTGGCCCCTCGCCTCATCCCAGTCCCTGGTTAAGGGAGAGGCATGATGGGCTGGGGGCCTAAGCCCCTACTCCTTCCCCACCCACTGGGGCCGGGAGCCCACGGGCCCAGCCCTCCCTGTTCATGTCCCCTGGGCCAGCCTCCAGGACTGTCCAGGTGCCACGTGCCTGGCAGGGTCAGGAGGCCCACAGAGGCTGGCCCACCTCACAGCCTGTCTCTGGGCGAGCTGGCGTGCTCTGGCAGGCCGGGTGTACCCTGAGACACCCCAGGGCCCCTGGGATCGCTGGAGCGTCCTCGTGTGTCGGCAGGACGCCCACTTCCTAGGTGCGCGCAGCTTTCTCTCCAGCTCCACTCTGTCCCCGGAGCCTAGATGGTGCCTCCTGCCACACGGCCAGCTGTGTGCACATGGGTGAGTGGCAGGCTGGGGGCCGGAAGGAAGACCCCGGAGGTGTCGTCAGCCACTCCGAAAGTGGACCTTGTGTGGGCTGTGGCACATGGCGGGCCCCCCCTCCCCAGAGCAGGGCAGTGCCGTCCCCAGAGCCTGGCAGCAGCCCGCCCACCATGCCCACACTGGGGCTGAGGGCCAGTCCCTCCCAGGTGCTGCCCATGCCCCGACCCTGCCCTCTGCCTCTCGCCTGCAGTTTCATGCTTTTGGCAGATGGAGCTTCTGGGAGAGTCTTTGCTCCTGTTCTGCCTGGAGTGAGACATCGGGGAGGTGCGGGCCGCACACCTCGGGGCTCTCCCGGCAGCAGTGGGCGGGCTGGGGCTGCGCCTGCCTCTCGCTCCTGGTTTCTGAAGCCCCTCACTCATTTCAGAGGCTCTTTGTTTTGGTAAAATGCACAGAACACAAAAGCCGTCATCGGAACCATTTTTAAGGGTACAGCGCAGTGCGTTCTTCATATCCTGCAGCCACCACCACACACACACCGCCTCCCTGTGTCCCCGGCCTGGCCTCCAGGTCTGCTGAAGGAGCCAGGCCAGGAGAGCAGGGCACAGAGCTGCCAGCCTGGCCCTCCTTCGGGGTCGTGCCCTGCCTCCTGGAGCTTCCCGCTCCTGCACCACATTTGAAGCCTGTCATGGGCGTTTGAACATGGTCTCCGGGGCACACATGCTCCCCAGCTAGGCGTCCCTGGCGGGGCGGAACTCGAGTGCCTCTGGGCAGGGCCCTGCAGAAGAGGTCCTCAGAGAAAGGGTAGGTGGGTGGGCGGGTGGAAGGGCAGGCAGATGGACAGGTGTGCTGGCTGGGTATCGCCTGGCTGGGAAAGCGCGCTCCAGGCTGGTACAAAAGGGGAGAGTGGCACCTTCTGGGGACGAACTGGGGCTGGCTGACAGAGGCAGAGGGCAGTCGCCAGAACGCACAGCTCTGGGAAACAAAGAGCTTTTGGTGCCTTTGCTCTAAATGCACTTCCCTCCTGCCTCTTGGGCCACATCAGATTGATTTTTTTTTAATGAAAGTACATAATTGTTGAAAAAGTTTAGCTTTTGAGTTGCGCTGACCGCTGTGGCCAGAAGAGGCGACATCTTAGCTTCAGGGACGATTTCCAGGGGAGTGCAGTGCCGCGGTGTCCGTGGGACAGCGCCTGGGCCCTTCCACCCAGGCCCACGTCAGCCTGGCGTTTCCTCACTGCTGGGCCGGCAGAAGGGCCTGGGGTTCAGCAGGGGGCACTGAGCCCCGGGTCCCGGCCCTGCCCAGGCATCTCACACCTGCGGGTCACTGTGACCTTCCTGACCGCGCTGCTGGCAAGGACCGTGATCACCCCTGTGGTGCAGGGTGAGACCCGAGGCCCAGAGGGCGAGTTGTCTGCCACCCCGTCTCGTCCTTGCATTGCCTGAGCTCTTGGTCGGGTCCCAGGCTTGGTGAAGGTGGACTTGGAGGGGCTCCGATGAGCCGGGCTGTGCTTCCCCCAGGGGACACCAGGGGGATGGGGTGTGGCTTGGCGAGGACGCGGGGCAGGTGGAGGTATGGGCAGCCCCCAAGCCCTGAAGGGGCTGTGGGCCTGGCTGTGGGTCAGATGCTGGCCGGGGCCCTAGGGTCCAAGTGCCCTCATCCCTTCTCGGGAGTCCAGTGAAGGCCCATCTGAATTGCAAGGGGCCACCTGAGGGAGAAAGGTGCCATCGCCACCAGCCCGTGCCCGGCAGCTGGAGGCTGTGGGGAAGGCAGGCGCCCTCCGGGCTTGGAAGGCCTCTCCCAGAGGGCGTTTGCTCTCCCTGGCTCCGTTCACGGGGGAGACGACCTGGCTGGTTTATTTTTAGCATGCCCCACTTGGCCATCGGCCCCCCACTGGATGCCCATGTGACCACATCTGCAACTGAGTGCCAGTCAGCTCGTTTCAGCCCTGGCTGTCCAGACACTGCCAGGTGGAGGTCCAAGTCACTGCTGAGCTCACAGTGGGGCCTGAGGAGCAGAGGGCAGCTGCTCAGGAGATTGCGTGGGCCTTTGTCTTGTACCTGGTGGTGGGAAGGAGAGGAGAGGGGCCCTTCCTTCTGCTCAGGACAGACTCCGGGCTACAGGGGTTGTTGCAGAGTGGATGAACTTGTGGTGGGTCTGGTGCCACAGCGTCTGTGGTCCTCCTGGGCCTGGGCGGGCAGGGCTGGGTCTTCCTGGGCCCACTTGCTGGTGGCTGGGACTGAGGGGTATAGCGGGTGGAGGGTCTGGCTCTGGGGCCTCCTGGTGGTGCCCATGAGCTGCTGGCCCCTTGGGACTGTGTAGGGCCCCCCAGGAAGGCTCAGTGAGCCCCCGGCTCCCTGCATCAGGACGCACGATACTTCTCCTGTTGTTTTCCGACAGCCCTCTGTTCCGGGGGGCAGGCCAGGCCCTCTCTTCCCCACCGCTGTCCTCTGCCCAGGGAGCTTCCATCTGCACAAGTCTTAGGAAAGTACCCACCATGCAGGAAGGCGTGTTGAGTTGATGAGAGAGGAGGCGGGAACAAGCTCCTGGCACCTGGCGACTCTCAAAGGCGGGAGGGGAGATGGGCTGGGCCGGTGGCACCCTGGCTCAACAGTACTTAAGGTTCAGAGGGCTGGGCCCCAAAAGCCAATCGTGCTGTGTGTTAATTTAAGATAGAAAATATTGTAAAGGAGAAAACAAGTAGGAAAATCAGCCACAACCTCGGTGTGGACACCGCGGGTGGCATGTGCCCCAGACGCACGCGGATGTGCCGGAGCCGCAGGCACACATAGGAGGGGCTGTAAGACACGGCGCGCCCGCTCCCGGGTGATGGGTGATGCGCCGCCTTGCGGGGGCGCTGGGGGTGGCCGCCCCGCGGCCGTGCTGACACCCTCCCTCCCTGCAGCCTGCCTGCTGCGCGTTAGCGCCCTCTCGCTGGTCTACCTGCTGGCCCTGCTGCTCCTGCCCTGGCTGCCGGGCCCCTCCCGCCATGGCCTCCGAGGTAAGGGGGGCGGTCGGGCCCGGAGCTCGCGTCCACGTGGGCCCCGCAGAGCCCCGGGCGGTGGTGGCCTCTCCCTGTGGTTTGGTGGCCGTGGGTAAAGGACAAGGGGCCCCAAGTTTCATTTCTCGTCACAAGCCCTTGGTTCGCTTCAGAATCTGTTTTCGGACCACGTCGTGGGGGGGGGGCACGCAGGGGGTGCTGGGGTCGCCAGAGGATCCCCTCCGGGACCTGTCCCTGCGCCTCCTGCAGGCTCCGCCCCCATCCCCAGCGCCAGTCTGGTGGCCGCCCTGCCTGGCAAGTCCTCTCTCCGCCCTTAGGGCTCAGCTCTCCCCACCTTCCCAGAGCCCAGCTCCATCGTGTGCTCCGCTGGGTGTGCTTGGAGTCCAGACAGATGGACACAGGGACGCCCATCAGAGAGGGCTCTGCCCACAGGGGGGCTGGACAGTGAAGTCCAAGGCATGGGCCCATCAGGAGGGTCTGGGAGCAGAGGCCATAGCCCGTTGTGGGATCCCATGGAGGACGGGACAGGGGAGATGCCACACCTGCTGCCCCCCGCAAGCAGGGCATAGGAGATGCAGGCCTGTAGCCAGATGGCACAGGGCACAGACAGGGCCTGCCCATCCTCAGAGGGCCCTTCACCTGGGGCCCCTGCCACCTGCTGTCTGAGTTGGTCAGTGTGTATTCTCGTCCCAGCTCTTTAGGGTGGGCAATGTGCTCAGGAGCCCACCCCACAGGCTGCGGTATGCCCTCATGGGTGGGAGGGGCCTTTAGGTTTCAGAGGGTTGAGGCTTTTGGGGAGAGGCCCAGCATATGCACAGTGTGGGAGCCACTGGGGATCCCAGACCTCTGCCCCAGCCGTCCGCCCCAGGCCCAGCTCAGGCCGCTGGGCCTCCTCCCCCCAGGCCCAGGCCCAGGCCTGCCGCACTGCCTCCCTCTTGCCTCCCTGGAGCCAGTGCTGTCCGTTCCCAGGCCCTCGGTATTTCATGCCCTGCACACAATTGGAAACACTTTCTCTAATAGGCAGGCTCCCAGCTGGGCCACGGCGTCAGCCCGAGTGGGGGAGGATTAAGAAGCGGGGGAGGCACCGGGAGGCTTCCCCACATGACCTCTGTCCATCCATCTGTCCACCCTCAGAGGCCCTTTAGGGGCAGAGAGGCTGCCTGGATTTTCCGGGTGGGAGAGAGGGAAGTGGGAGGCCTGTGCCCAAGCGCCTGTCTCGGGCCTGCAAGCTGTGCAGATGCCTGCCCTTGGCCCCTGCATCTGGCGGAAGGTCTGATGCTGCCTGGGGCCCTTGTGGGTGCTGACCCCTGGCCCGTCCCCGTGTGGGTGTTGTTCAGGCACTGGGCCCCCCGTGGGTGCTGACCCCAGCCCATCCGCACGTGGGTTTTGGTTGGGCCAGAGCTCCCTGCACAGAGGAATCTCTCAGGAAATCTCCGGCTGCTTTGTCCCTTGGCCTGGGGCTGGGGGCCAGCCGGTGCAGCCACTGGTACGTGGGTGCAGGCCGTGTGCCCTGCAAAGGGCAGGGCAGGCGGTATGGGATGGCCCTGGGGGGTCAGCTCCAGCAACCCGCTTAGCATTTAGGGACCCACCCACCCCTGCCTTAGCACAGAACTGACCTGAGGCTCCCCCTGCCCCCGGATGTCATGGCTGCTCTAACTCAGGTGCTGGGTAGAGGGTTGAGGGCCTGGCGGGCAGGGCCCTGGCTGGGTTGCCCTTCGGAGCACCACACTGTGAGGGTCCCTCACGTTTGCTGGGTGACAGGATGAGGGGCCCTGTGAGTACCCCCAGCTCGCTGTGGACTCAGGCCTGCCCCCCAACCCAGGCCCAGCAGGGCAGGCCTCCCAGGGATCATGGCTCAGCCTCCGCCCATTGCCTTCCTGCCCCACCCCTCCGGACCCTTCTGTGTGGGCCCCCACATGCCAGTCAGCCCTTGCCTGGCACCTGGAAGGAGGGGTACCATCTGTAAACAGCTCATCAAGCACAAGGGCCGGGCCTCTGTGGACAGCAGTTCAGTGGGTGGGTGGGTGTTGGAGGGGCACCGGGAAGGCCCAGGGAGTGGAGGGCTGGTTGTCCGTGAACTCTGGCAGGGAGGAGGGGCACCGGGGGGTCAGGGCCACTGCAGAGCCCGGGGGTGTCTGCGGGCCGAGTGGCCACCTGGGGCGGCGGTGGGGCCGAGGCCCAGGGCTCCCGCTCCACTCAGGTGCTCTTTATCCCCCCCGACCCCGAGGGTCCCCCACTTCCTCTGCTGGAGTCCACAGCCCCCCAGCCCTGTTTCCCCTCCCTGGAGAGCCCTGCCCCTGAGAAGGAGCCCCTGCCCCTCCGGTGGGCCGGGTCAGTTCTGTGCCACCCTCCCCGCCTTGGACAGAGGTGGGGTCCTGCCCTCAGGGCCGAGCCTGGCCCCCCTCTGTGTTCCCTGCCCTGTGCCAGCCTTGTGTTGCTGAGTGGCGCAGGTCCCGAGAAGGGGGCAGTGCCTTCAGCAGCAGCAGCAGGCGGTCCTGCTCTGCCCTGGACAGCCCCTCCCCTGCCTGCGGAGGGCGCCCTCTCGCCCAGCACTTGAACCCCAGAGTCCACAGGGACCTGGTTCCAGCCCCACAACAGCCTTTCTCTGGCAGATGCAGGAGCCCCTGGCTGCCTGACCTGCTCCTGCCCAAGCGCAGGTGGGCGGGTGGTGGGCACCCAAGCTTTGATTAACCATGTGGTTGAGTGCTGGCAGCCTCTCCCGGAGGGGTCAGACCAGCAGGAGGAGAGGACGGGGAGCACAGGCTCAGCAGTGGGGCTTTGAGATGCCACCAGGCCCCGAGGAGGTGCCAGGAGCTTGGGACCGGTGGGGGGCGTCCCTTAGAGATGGATGTTTGGAGGTGCTGGTGAGCAGATTGGGTCCGTGGCAGCCCTGGAGAAGAGCGCCAGAGCCCTGCCTCGCCCGCCTGTCCCCTCAGGTCAGAAGCCTGCACAGCTTTCCTGTCCCCGTGGTCTGGGCCCTCCCGGACCTGGCCACATGGCTGGTAGTGGCTTGTGGCCCGGGATGCTGTGCCAGCTGAGAACCGGGGAGGGGACAGGGAGACCGTGGGGAGTGGTGACAGGTGACATCCTGCCAGCTGCGTGTCAGAGGTGCAGGCCAGGTAACAGGGAGCTTCCCTCCTGACCTGGGGGGCCATGCATGTTTCAGAGCCCGTCAGGCCTGGTCATGTGGCTTCAGTGTCTGGCTTGGGAGTGGGGTGGGTCCCTGGGGGTGCTCAGGCCACCCGCCCGCCCCGTCTGCAGGAGTCTTCAGGAGAGCACCATGCGGGGGAGCCAGGCAGAAGGGGGTCGCAGCCGTGGCCTCTGCAGGTTCCTGGCAGGCAGGATGGGCGGCCTCAGAAGTTTTTGGCCCAGGGGCACTCTGGATCCCCACCCCTGGGAGGAGGCCCTGCCCTACTCCTCATCTTGGCCTCGGACTCCGGGGTGGGGAGAGGGGGCCCAGCCAGGGCCTGAGGCAGGCTGTTCGCATTCATTTTCCAAGCCCCTTCCAGGAAGGCCCCGCTGGTGCCCCCTGCCTCCCACAGGTCAGAGGCAGTAATGGAGGGGTCAGAATGTCAGGGCTGGGAGGGGTCTAGAGGCAGGTGAGTGGGAGGCGCCTCCCTGGGCCGCCCCTGGGATCCCCCGGCTTCTCTGAGCTCGGATTCCCTCCGGGGAGCCAGGCGAGACCGCGGGTGTGTGGAACACGGGGCCCTGCACACTGGGCAGGCGCACGGCACTCCAGCTCACCCGCAGGCCCACCCCCGACTGGGAGTCTGTTCTCAAAGGCGATGGTGCCAGGAGGCAGTGAACAGACGGGCCCTGAGCTTCCTGCGTCCAGGCCAGTGAGGCGCGGCCCTCCCAGCCCTCAGCGCTGGGAAGTCAGTGGGGCCTGTGCTGCTGTCCAGGTCTTCGGGGACCCCCAGCCTGCAGGGTGGGGGCTGGGGGAGGAAGCTGCCCACACGGCTGCGGCCTGCAGCCTGGACTGCAAGCTCAGAGAGCACAGGAATGAGAACTGAGGCCTGCCTGGTCCTGGCTCCCACCCTGGAGCAGAGGCCACCCGGGTCTCCCCGAGTCCTCCTGGAATGCCCAGCAGCCCCCGCCCTGCAGCCAGAGGCATGCTTCCCGGGGAGCAGTGGGCTGCCCCACTTAGGCTGCCATGTCCCACAGGAGAGGGCACCAAGGGCGCTTACCTGGAGCTGCCCCTGCTGTCTGGGGGCTCCTGGGCCTGACCCCCACCCTGGCTTCTCCCCCATGAGATGGGGCTCTGACAGGGTTTGGGCCCCCAGAATGCATATAATCAAGCTGTGTGCTGGCCTCCCCCTGCCCGCCCCACCACAGGTCACCCTGGCCGCCTTCTCCGAGCACTGCTGGGCTTCAGCCTCGTCTTCCTGGCAGCCCACCTCACCTTTCAGATATGCCTGCACACCGTGCCCCGCCTGGACCGGCTTCTGGGGCCTAGCTGTGAGTCGCCGTGGCCTGGGAGGGGGCGTGTGGGGCAGCATGTCTGGGGGTGGCTAGTGGCCAGGGGAAGGGAGCCACTGCAGCCCTGGGGGGCCTCAGCTGCCCTGCCTCACCCAGGCTTTGCCTAATATGGGCCGTCCCAAGTGCCTGCCCATGAGTTATGTCCAGCCCGATGGCCAAGATCATGTGACCCAGTAATGGCTAGCCACGGGGCCGGGCCAGGCACCATGCAGTGCTGGTCCCAGAATCTGGAATCTGGCCCCCCATCTCCCCAGGGCCCCCATCAGCATCTTCCTCCAGTGCCCATGGGGGCTGCACGGCTGCCCCCAGCACCTTGCCTGCCTGCCATGTCCCCTTTGCCCTAGGGTGGCATCTACAGCTGGCATTAGCACCCCCAACTCCAAAAAGGACTGGCATCAGCACCCCATCTTCACCCGGGGAGCCCAGCCAGGGTCCCTGCCTCCGGGTCCTGCCTGGCATGGCTCCCACCAGGCTCTGCATTCAGCCATATGGGTGGGTAGGGTGCCCACTTGGCTTCCTGTTTCCATTCCATGAGGGTTGTGCCCCTCCGTTTAGAAACAGAAGCCTGGAGAAGAGTTGGTGCCTTGATGGCACCAGTCCCGGGGCTCTGAGACCAGGCCTCCCCACTCTGGGCCCGCTGTGCCCCCAAGGAGCAGCCGGCCTCCTCTGATGGTCCTGAGAACCTGGCTCAGAGTACTGGCCACTTCAGCTCCCCTGCGGCCACATGCTGCCCATGGGGCTCTGAATCCCCTTTCTGCCAGGCAGAGCTGCTAGGCCTCTGGTCTGCCCAGCTTTCCCTGGCTGGGCCTGTGCCCTCTGGTAAAGGCAGTGCTGTGGGAGCACCCTGAGCAACCACAGGCACCCGGGAGACCAGGGCTTCTGTGACCTGGGGTCCCCGAGGGCTGCCTGGGGACAGGGAGAGTGGTGCATGCTGTGTGCCCTCTGCCTGACCTGCTTCCTGTTTTTTTCTGCAGGCAGCCCCTGGGAGACCCTCTCCCGACACATAGGGGTCACGAGGTAAGAGACCCCCCACTTTGGGGATTTCCCAGCCTGAGGCCGGGGCTCCCAGTTTCCTGGGTTCCCTGCTCCTTGCCAACCACTGGGCTCTGCCTTTCACAGGCTCAACCTCAACGACATCCCGACTACCATCCAGCTGGTGGCCCCCGACCTGGGCGTCCTGGTGGTATCCTCTATGTGCCTCGGCCTCTGCAGGCGCCTCGCACGGGCATCCCAGCGGGACCAGCACACCCAGGACCTGGTGAGGGCGGTGGCTGGGGAGGGTTGCCTGCAGCTGACACAGCCTGCCGTCGGGCCCAGGGCTGGACTGCCATGCTGCCTGCCCTTGGGCACCCCTCCCTGGCAGTCCTGCTAACTCTGGGGGACCTGCAGGGGCATGTGGGCACCAGTGGGCACAAGGGCCGGGCTGCCTCTGGTTTCCTCATTAGCAGAACCAGGGCTTCCCGGAACAGCTCTGCCAGGAAGGGGCTGGACTCCTTCCTGAAACCTGGGCTGGGCAGGAGGGATCAGCTCCCACCCTGCGCTGCACACTGCCCTCCAGCACAGGGCTGCCCTCTGGTCTGCCAGGCCTGTGGGGTGGGTCGTCTTCATCCAAGTGTTCTCAGTGGCCAGTGAGAGCCTGCACGGCCCTCCTAACCCGGGTCGGCTGGCAGGAACCCTGTAGGTAGGTAGACCTCAGAGCCAGGTGGTCCCACGTGCCCAGAGGTAGGAGCAGCCTAGTTGCACCCTGGCACAACCCCGCCTAGCTGGACCACACACACAGCCGCACACAGGCCGTGGCGCATCACACGCACGCTCTGAGGGGGTCAGGTGAGCTGTGGGTGGGAGGCAGGGAGATGGGTAGAAACTTCTGCTGAGCTCCCTGCACGGCCCGTGGGACCTGCTGAGTCAGGGTTGGAGTGAGGCTTGGCCAGGCCGGGCGCCAGAGGCGGCCTGAGCACCTGCCTCCCCAGGCAGCAGCTGCCTCTCCCACTCCTGGAAACACTGATTTTCCCAGTTCCCAGAAGCTTTCCCAGGGCCGGGGCCAGCTGTGGGCGGGGGGCCGGGCCGGGAGTGGCAGGCCCAGCTGCCGCACTGTCCCGGGCCGCGTGCCCCGCCCTGTGAGTCCAGGCTGTTATGGGGGATCCCAGCCATGCATTCCAGCCTTGGAGCCGGGGCCCCTGCTCTAATATCCTGGGCCCTGGATGTCTGCACCCTTGTCCCCTGGTCTGCCCTCTTCGGGCGTGGCTCAGCAGCTCCCCCCGGGGCCCCCTGGGCTCTGTGAGGGTGGGACCCACGTCTGGCACGTTTCTCCTGTCTCGTCCCCACCCCATTTGACAGAGAGGGTCAGGAGTTAGGTGACGCCCAGTGCCATGTAAGGCTGCCTGGCTCCAGAGCCTGCGCCCTCAGCCCGGATGCCGAGTGCCATCCCAGTCATGGGAGAGGGGGCGGCAGGCATCACTACTGAGTGTGGGACTTGAGGTCCCCTCTGGGCCCATTTCTCTACTTAGAAGGAAAGTACTGCTTCAGCTTGTGGGACCAAGAGCAACGGGTATAAACTGTGGAGTGTGGTGTGCGTGCTGCGTGCATCTGCCCTCCTTTCTCCTTCCCGAGAACCCCCCTCGGGCCCGCTTGGGAGCCAGACCTCAGGGCCAGGGGCTTTGAGATGCATGCGGGAGCCCACCTGCCCTGTGCTTGGAGACCCTGGTCTACATGGGGAAATAGGGAGGAGGCCCTTAAGGGACCCCAGCATGACCTGAGGTCCAGGCACGTCCATCAGCACGTGTGCCAGTGCTGGGGCAGGAGCGGGCCGCCTCCAGGAAGGCCTGCGGGCTGTGAACTTGAGTGAGGGGGCAGGAAGGGGCAGTGGGCCTCTGGGCGTGCAGGGCGGCACTGGCCACACTTGGGCCAGCAGCCTGGGGATCCTAAGGGCCACGCACTGACCTCTGTCCCTCTGCTGACCTTGGCAGGAGGGCGATGACAGGGAAACAGACCCCAGCCCCCCAGCAGAGCTTCAGGGAGCCCCTGCGCTGGCCTCCAACCGGAGGTCGCGGCTGGCGGCCCGGTTCCGGATCACAGCCCACTGGCTGCTGGTGGCCGCTGGGCGGACCCTGGCCGTGGTGCTGCTTGCTCTGGCAGGTACCCAGTGGGCAGGGAGCGGGAACCCTGCCCCAGCCATCCCACCAGGACGGGTCACGGCAGCTTGCCGGAGCTGCCCACCAACCCTGCCCGCCTCCGCCTGGTCCTGCAGGCATTGCCCACCCCTCGGCCTTCTCCAGCGCCTACTTCCTCCTCTTCTTGGCCATCTGCACCTGGTGGGCCTGCCACTTTCCCATCAGCCCCCTGGGCTTCAGCGCGCTCTGTGTCACCGTGGGCTGCTTTGGCGCCGGCCATCTTGTCTGCCTCTACTGCTACCAAACACCTTACGCCCAGGTCGTGCTCCCACCCGCTGGCATCTGGGCCAGGTGAGGGCTTGTCCACACAGGCCATGCCTCTTCCCTTGCCCTGCCTGTCTGGCCCTATCTCCTTGGCCAGTGGTCAGTGACGTGCCTTCCCGGGCAGGGTGTTTGGTCTTAAGGACTTACTGGCCCCCACCAACTGCTCCGGTGCCTCGGTGCTGGTCCTCAACACCAGCCACGACTGGCCTGTGTACGTGAGCCCTGGCATCCTCCTGCTGCTCTGCTACGCCGTGGTCTCGCTCCTGAAGCTGCCCGAGGCGCAGGCCTTGGACCAGGTGGGCGCTCGGGGCCGCCCCACTGTCCTCGCGCCTCCGGGTGCCCCCAACCCCTCAGTCCCTGAAACATCAGATGGGAAGTTGAGCTCTGGGCTCTGGTCTCCAGCCTCCACAGAAGGAGGCCGCCGGGGGCAGTGAGGAACAACAGGTGGAGCTGACCGAGCTGGACCAGTGGCCCCAGGGCGAGGCCAGGGCTGCAGCTGCCAGCGAGGAGGGGGCTGTCCAGGTGAGGGGTGCAGGCTGAGCTGTGGGGCTGGAGCCCACCTGCCCACACCTGCCACCTGCTCGGCTCATGGGTCTTGGCCTGCCCTTGCAGTACATGCTGCCCACGCCCACCAAGCCTGACGCTGAGGCTGACAACTGCATTGTGCACGACCTGACTGACCACAGCCCTGTCCCACTGGGCGCCCGTGAGTACGCGCACCCAGGCTGCCGGGGACACCTTGCATGGACGCACTAGTGCTGCCCCCTGGTGGCCGCAGGGAGACCCATCAGCATGTCCACCTCCAGCTGAGGCCTCCCAGAGCCAGGGCTGTGTGGGGCCCTGCTGCTGAGCCCTGAGATGCTGGGCACGCTTTGGGTCTCCCAGCCCCTTCCCACCTGCCTCCCAGTCCGTAGAGGACTTGAGTGTCCCACCGTGGGCTGGCCCTGCGGCCTAGGGTGGCTGACTGGCATCCTGGCAGATGCTGACCTGGCAGCTATGTGCTGGCCACACCTCCATGGAGACATTTTTTCTGGGAGCTTTATTTTTCTCTCCTAAACCTTGGTTCCCACTCTGCACGAAGCAGGAGATGCCAGGCCAGCCTCGGGAGCTGGCGCACTGGGGTGGTTCATGTGTAGAGCTCGGGGACTGGCTGTGCCGTCCATCCTGTCCCTTCCGAGTCTGGGAAATGGGCCTACAGAGGGGTGAGGGCTGGCCAGGGCCGCATGACACAGGAACGTCATCAGGTGGGAGCTGTGCCCTTTGCTGCGATTTTCAGCCCCCAGGGCCCCCCACAGCCGTCTGCTGAGTGTTACCTCCTTCCCACTGGGCGGCCACACCAACACCCTTCTGAATTTTAGGGCAAAGTCTGGTGCGGGTGCGGGGCTCTGGCCTGTTGGTGTCGGGCTCCCCCAGCTGGAGGCTCAGCTCCCTGGGTGATCTCCGCCCTGCCCCCTAGTGCGCTCCAGGCCGGCTGTGCCTAAAGAGCGGTCCCCGCTACATGGCTTGGGCCACCTCATCATGGACCAGAGCTACGTGTGTGCCCTCATCGCCATGATGGTAAGGAGCCGTGGCCTGGGCAGCCCCTCGCCACGTCCTGGGAGGTGGGTGGTCTGAGTTCACAGGGCCTGGAGTCTCGTCACCGGAGGTGGTGCTGCAGGGGCTGGGGGAGCAGGGCTGGGGGTGCCGGGTGCCGGCAGCCTGCCCACCAGCCCGGCCATCCAGGTGTGGAGCATCACCTACCACAGCTGGCTCACCTTCGTGCTGCTGCTCTGGGCCTGCCTCATCTGGACCGTGCGCAGCCGCCACCAGCTGGCCATGCTCTGCTCGCCCTTCATCCTGCTGTATGGGCTGGCGCTCTGCGGCCTGCGCTACGTGTGGGCCATGGACCTGAGCTCCGAGCTGCCCACCACCCTGGGCCCTGTCAGCCTGCGCCAGTTGGGGCTGGAGCACACCCGCTACCCCTGCCTGGACCTTGGGGCCATGGTGAGCACCCCTCCCAACTGCAGGGCGCCTGTGAGCTCACCTGGCGCCCTGGATTTCTGCATGGGGGTCTTTGACAATGCCGTTCTGCTCATCACTCAGCGCGCCAGGCGAGTGGGAGGGCAGGGAGGCCAGGGCCTTCCCTGGCTGTCACCAGGTCCCTGCTGGCAGCACAGAGCCGATGCTGAGCACACAACCCAGGAGGGCATGGGTGGTGATCCCATCGTCAGGGCACAGCCAAGTCCCTGACAGGGTGGCCTTGCACGTTGCCCCTGGGCCTGAGTGGGGCTTGTATGCCACTGTGTCCCTGCATGAGCCGGTGTGTGCCAGGGTCACTGCACCCGATGTCTGTCCCACTGCCCGCCACGTTTGGGAGCCAGTGGGTTATATCTCACCATGTGAGCCATGTGCATATGTGTGTGTGCCAACACGTGGGCCCGTGTGGAAGCCTGTGCATGTGTGCAAATGTGCACACCTGTATGGTCTGCGTCTCGGTGTGTACAGTGTGCTCGAGGGGAGGGAGGCTGCCCAGCCACTGGCCCTCAGGCAGCCGTCCCCCCACCCAGCTGCTGTACACCCTGACCTTCTGGCTCCTGCTGCGCCAGTTTGTGAAGGAGAAGCTGCTGAGGAAGGCGGGGGCCCCCGCTGCGCTGACGGAGGTCACCGTGGCAGGCGCGGGTGAGCAGGCTGGGCAGGTGGGAACCGCCCCCTCCGCCCAGCCCCGAGCCGTGAGCCCAGCCCCTGGCTCGGCCCGCAGAGCCCACGCGGACGCAGACGCTGCTGCAGAGCCTGGGGAGGCTGGTCGCCGGCCTGCACGCCAAGTACTGGATCTACGTGTGCGCCGGCATGTTCGTCGTGGTCAGCTTTGCCGGCCGCCTCGTTGTCTACAAGATCGTCTACATGCTTCTCTTCCTGCTCTGCCTCACCCTCTTCCAGGTGCCTGGGGGGGCGGGAGGCAGGACCCCGGCCGCAGGGCTGGACCTCACGGCATCCCTCCGGCAGGTCTACTACAGCCTCTGGCGGAAGCTGCTCAAGGCCTTCTGGTGGCTGGTGGTGGCCTACACCATGCTGGTGCTCGTCGCCGTCTACACCTTCCAGTTTCAGGACTTCCCCGTGTACTGGCGCAACCTGACGGGCCTCACCGACGAGCAGTGAGTGGCGGGCAGGCGGGCAGGCGGTGTCGGGGGCGCCCACCTGTGGGGCGCGGCGCTGACTCCCCGCCCTCATAGGCTGGGGGACCTGGGCCTGGAGCAGTTCAGCGTGTCCGAGCTCTTCTCCAGCATCTTCATCCCCGGCTTCTTCCTGCTCGCCTGCATCCTGCAGCTCCACTACTTCCACCAGCCCTTCATGCAGCTCACGGACCTGGAGCGCAGCCCCCGCGCCCGCCCCCCGCGCTGGGCTCCCAGGTGCACCCTCTGCAGGCCCCCAGGACCCAGCACCCCGCAGGCAGCCGGCAGAGCAGAGCATGTCTCCGACCCCCTTCCAGACCCCAGAACCGCGCAAGAACCTTGTCAGGGAGGGTTAAGGGGCTGCGGGGACTCGGACGGGAGGACGCAGCCTCAGCTGCCACCTTCAAACGCAGAGGGGCCTCAGGCAGTGGGGGCTGTAGGGACGGAGTGCCAGCCAGGCCCCGTGCTCCCGAGCTCGTGGCTGCAAACAGGCTTCTTTCAGCCGAGGGACTGGGAGGGCAGGAGCGGGGGGCCTGCGGGGCTCACCCAGGAGCGCGGGCGTGAGTGGCACTGCGGGGCCCTGTCCTAGGCAGGACGTGGTGAGCGGGACCCCACTGCTGCGGCAGGAAGAGGAGGAGGACCCCAGGGTGGAGAAGCTGAGCTCGGCTGGCCCCAGCCAGGCCACTCAGGTCCTGGAGAGTAAGTTGGGGGAAGGGCTGGGGTGTCCCCAGAGACCCTGTGAGGTAGGGAGGGCTGTCCCTTCCTCACACCCCCTCCCAATAGTTGCAGCCAACAACTGGGGCCTGGTGGCCGAGCGGCTGCTGGACCTGGCTGCCACCTTCTCCGACGTCCTTGGCCGCGTGCAGACCCTGGTGGGGCGCCTGCTGGAGCTGCATATCTTCAAGCTGGTGGCCCTGTACACTGTCTGGGTGGCCCTGAGAGAGGTGAGCACCCACAGACCCACTGCCCATGTCTGCAGCAGCCACTAGGGCCCTGCGGGCACAGTGGGCCCACGGGGCAGGGCAGGGCTGTGCCTGCCCCACCAGCACCGCCTGCCCACAGGTGTCGGTGATGAACCTGCTGCTCCTGGTGCTGTGGGCCTTCGCCCTGCCCTATCCCCGCTTCCGGCCCATGGCCTCCTGCCTGTCCACTGTGTGGACCTGCATCATCATCGTGTGCAAGATGCTCTACCAGCTCAAGGTTGTGAGCCCCCACGAGTACTCCAGCAACTGCACAAAGGTAGGGTGCCCTGCATGCCCAAGCCCCACACCCGGGGATGGAGACGGAGGGCCTGTCTTGGAGGTCCGAGGACTTCCTGGAGCATCCTTCAGCCTGGCCTGCAGAGGACCCGCTCCCGTGGGGAGGCGTCCGGGTTCGGAGGGGTCCTGACTCGGCTGGGCCCTCTGCGTGCAGCACAGGGTGCTGTGTGAGGTGGTGCTGAGGGTGTCAGAGCGAAGGGGCCACGTCCAGGGCAGCTTCTGCGCAGAGCTCTCTCCTTCCTCCCTTCCCCAGCCCCACACCCTGGCCCCTTCCCCAGGAGGGGATGGGGAGGCCGGCCCTCGCACGCCCTCGGCTGCAGGCAGCTAGCCTGGCCCACACCTGTCCGGGAGCCGTGGCAGAGGTGGGGCAGGGCAGGCCAGTGGTCCCTGGGGTCACTGCCCTGGTCCTGGCGGAGCAGATGCTCACTCCACCCCTGCCCTCAGCCCTTCCCCAACAGCACCAACCTGCAGAGGACAGAGATCAACCAGTCTTTGCTGTACCGGGGGCCCATTGACCCCGCCAACTGGTTTGGGGTGAGGAAGGGCTTCCCCAACCTGGGCTACATCCAGGTGAGTGAGGCGCCTGGGGGTGGCAGGTGGGCGGGCAGGCAGCGGGCAGGCGGTGGAGCCTGACTGCCTCCCCCCGACCCCAGAACCACCTGCAGATCCTGCTGCTGCTGGTATTTGAGGCCATCGTGTACCGGCGCCAGGAGCACCAGCGCCGGTTGCACCAGATGGCCCCCCTGCCCGCCCAGGCTGTCTGCGCCAGCGGCACCCGCCAGCAGCTGGACCGGGACCTGCTCGGGTGCCTCCGGTACTTCATCAACTTCTTCTTCTACAAATTTGGGCTGGAGGTGAGGCCCTTGCCCCTTCCCTGGGCAGGCCGGCCCTGGGGGCTCTTAGCACCCTCCGGGCATGCGCTGAGCATCGGCGCTGTGCAGGTCCTCGGGGGTGTTGGGTCCTGTGCACTCAGCCGGCCTCACTTGGAGAGGGGCCTGTAGGGTGGGGGTGGGGGTCCGGGACAGGCGCCCCCAGGCTTGGTTACCCTGCAGGGCGGCGACCTTCCAGCCTCCCCACCTCTCCCAGAAAGGCGTGTGGGGCTGTCGAGAGCCTGCGCTGCAGCCCCGTCCTGTGCAACGCCCCCCCCCCCGCCTGGGGGCACCGCAGGGCCAGCCCGCGGCCAGGCGGGTCCCGCCCTGCTCGCTCTGGTCCCCGTGCTCGTCTGCACCCCCAGATCTGCTTCCTGATGGCCGTGAATGTGATCGGGCAGCGCATGAACTTCATGGTCATCCTGCACGGCTGCTGGCTGGTGGCCCTCCTCACCCGCCGGCGCCGCAGGGCCATCGCCCGCCTGTGGCCCAGCTACTGCCTCTTCCTGGCGCTCTTCCTGCTGTACCAGTACCTGCTGTGTTTGGGCATCCCCCCGGCCCTGTGCGTCGGTGAGGAGGGCACGGCTGCAGGCTGGGTGTGGGGGGCACCGAGGGCACCGCTGTGCAGGGCCGCGTTTCCCGCCTGCCCTGGAGTCGCGTCCTGCGCTGTCCGGTCATCCTGCCAGCGACGTATGTGTTCCATTTCTCTGCATCCTCACCGGCATTTGGTGCCATCACCTTTCTTATTTCAGCCATTCTGATGGGCATGTGACACCGTTGTACTCTGGTCTGTCCGTGCCAGGGCTCAGCACCTGGGGAGGCCTGCCTGCCCCAGCCTGCCAGTTACTCTAGGCTGTCTCTCGGTCCCTCCTCCTGGGGCACGGGGCAGTTTATGTCCGAAAAGCATGCACATCAGAGGGTGCCAGAACCTCTGGGCTGGTGGCCTCTCGGGGCTCCGGTGCGACTGGGTGTGTTTTGAGGCTGCGTGAATGTGGGTGAGTGGGCGTAAGATCCCGTGGACACTGGGCCCCTGCAGGCCACAGGGCAGCAGACAGGGAGGGATGGGACATCTGGGACCCTGATACATGCCCTCCACCTGCAGACTACCCGTGGCGCTGGAGCCAGGCCATCCCCATGAATTCCACCCTCATCAAGTGGCTGTACCTGCCAGACTTTTTCAGGGTCCCCAACTCCACCAACCTCATCAGTGAGTACCTGCTGGCAGGGCCCTGGTCTGCACATACCACCTGCCAGCTTCCCTGGAGGCTCTGCACGGGGACAGGCACGTTGTCCAGGCCAATCTTGTGGTTCCCAGCTAGTGGGGGGCTGGGACCAATTTGTTCCAGGAGTGTGCCTGGTTCTGCGGGCACATCTCCAGGAGATAGATGGGCCCACCTCACGCATGTGTACCTAGCCATGGAGACCGTCTGCATGCAGGGTGGACACAGGTAGGCACCTGTGTGGACACTGGGATGCACGTGGGTGGACAGAGATGCAGGTGTGCAGACTGATGTCCACATGGAGAGCAGGCAGGTGTGTGTCAGCCTCATCTGATGTGTGTGTGGCATGTGGAGAGCCCCTGGACACACAGGGCGTGTGCAAGTGGCTGTGATCCCCAGCTCCCAGTGCACACCCACGCCCGTAGGCAGACGCACCGGTGCTCACACAGGCAGGCACGTCTGCCCACCTCCCTCATGCACACACCAAAGCTGCCACCTGGTCTGGGGTGGGAGGGCAGAGCCACAGGACGGGCCTGGCGCCCCACTGAGCCCCTGGCCTCTGCGTGGCCAGCAGTCTGGGGTGCCCGTAGCCGTAGTCTCCATGTGCCCACAGGCGACTTCCTCCTGCTGCTCTGTGCCTCCCAGCAGCGGCTGGTGTTCTTGGCTGAACACACCGAGGAGTGGCAGCACATGGCTGGCACGAACACCGACTGCCTGGAGCTGCCACAGGGGGAGCCCAACCCCGTGCCCAACTTCATGCACTGCAGGTGGGTCCCGTGGCGTCCTGCTCGCTGGGGCTGTGCAGGCAGCTGGTCAGCGGGGCTGACGTGCTAGGCTCCGCCTAGGACTGGGCTGAGGATGGGCGCTGCCGGTGGTGGCCCTGGGGCCAGGATGGGGGCGGATCCCAACCTTGCAGAAGACAGGGCCTTCTGGGGGTCTCCCCGGTCGCAGGCTGCCGGGGGGAGGCGGGGTGACTGGGGCCCCACGGTGACGCCCCACCCGCAGGTCCTACCTCGACATGCTGAAGGTGGCCGTCTTCCGCTACCTCTTCTGGGCGGTGCTGGTGCTGGTGTTCGCTGCCGGGGCCGCCCGCATCAGCATCTTCGGGCTGGGCTACCTGCTCGCCTGCTTCTACCTGCTGCTTTTCGGCACCACCCTGCTGCAGAAGGACACACGCGCCCGCCTTGTGCCGTGGGACTGTCTCATCCTCTACAACGTCACTGTCATCATCTCCAAGAACATGCTCTCGGTGAGCCTGCCCGGCCCCGGCCCTGACCCCTGACCCCGGGGGCCCGGCTGACCTTCCCCTGCCCCCAGCTCCTGTCCTGTGTCTTCGTGGAGCAAATGCAGAGCAGCTTCTGCTGGGTCATCCAGCTCTTCAGCCTCGTGTGCACCGTCAAAGGCTATTACAACCGTGAGTGCGTGCGGGCGTGGGGGCCGTGGGCGCGCCGCGGGGGCACTCGGGCCTCACCCGGACCCGCGCCGCCCCCCTCCCACAGCCAGGGAGATGCTGAGCAGGGACAAGGACTGCCTGCTGCCCGTGGAAGAGGCCGGCGTCCTCTGGGACAGCGTCTGCTTCCTGTTGCTGCTGCTGCAGCGCCGCGTCTTCCTTAGCCACTACTTCCTGTACGTCAGGGCAGAGCTCCAGGCGACCGCCCTGCAGGCCTCCAGGTCAGCGCCTGCCGGGGGGCCCCTAGGCCCAATCTGTGACCTGGGAGCCGGGGTGCCTGGCTCTGCCGCCGGCCTGTGGATGCACGCCCGCCGGAGGGCCTTCCCCTGCCCCGCGCACCTCCATCCTGGCCTCTGCAGGGCTAAGCCCACGGGCCGCTGTCCACTGACACCTCTTCACTCGCCTGTTATCACACCTGGGAATCTGGAGGCGGCGGGCAGTGTCTACGGCCTCCCTGTAGCACACGGCCAAGAGGGCGTTGAGTTCAGAGTCAGGCCCTCGGTGTGAGCGTTGAGGACTGGGGCTGCTGGGCAGGGTCTGGGACTGGGGAGGCCAGGCCCAGACTGGTAGTGGGGTGCCCCCAGGGCCTCACTGCCTCTCCCTACAGGGGCTTTGACCTCTACAATGCCGCAAGCCTCAAAAGCATTGACCTCCACCGCAAGGAAGAGGAGAAGTCTCTGGCCCAGCTAAAGAGACAGTAGGTGCTCTGGGGTGAGGTCTGCCCCACCCACGGCCTGCTCCCAGCCTGGTGCTCAGAGCTGCCACCTGCCCCACAGGATGGAGCGCATCCGCACAAAGCAGGAGAAGCACAGGGTGAACCGCAGCCGACCCCAGGACCCCCCGGGGCCCGGCCAGGAGCCAGGTGAGCGCAGAGCCCAGGCACGTCTGCTCAGCTGCAGCCTGCTGCCTCTGCCACGTCACGTCCCACAGGGCTTCTGGCCTGCCTGTCCTGTGCTGTGTGGCCACCCTGTCCTGCAGGCCATGCGGCCAGCCCGTGACCATCTCTGTGCACTTTTGGGCTGCCCTCCACAACAGGGCACCTAGAGGCAATCCCCCCATTGCTGTGGGGGATCCGTGTCTGTCTGCACTTGTGGTTGTCCTCACACCCTCCCTGCCCCTCCACAGGCCCTGGCAGTCCAGGGGGCTCCTCCCTGCCACGGAGACAGTGGTGGCGGCCCTGGCTGGACCATGCCACAGGTACTGCCCCAGCCAGGCCTGCCAGGCGTGCCCTCTCAACTGCTGCCCGCCTTTGGGGTGGTAGGAGCTCGCCGTTCACTGACCTCCAGCCTGTGCACATTGCCCCCTCCCAGCACCCCTGTGGGCCCTACCACAGGGCTCTCAGGTCTCACACCAAGCCATGGGGTGGTAAGGTGCTGGGTCTTGATCTTCCTGGTTCCCGATAATGGGCTCTGTGTCTCCCTGGGTCTTCTCAGACCCAGAACTCTGAACCCCCACCCCTGGTCTGGTCTCCCCTGTCCTGGCCCCGACCCTGCTGTGTGGCTCCTGGTGACTGGCTGCACCCCAAAGCTCTGGTCTGTGTCCTGTGCATGCGTCCCTGTGCCCCAGCCTGCATGGGGCTTCTTGCTTCCCCCACCATGGCTGTCCCTGGGAGGAGGGTGGCATGCCGCCCTTGGCTTGTGGGGTCACAGGGTGCCAAAGGAACCTAAGCTGGGCAGCACAGCGGGTCCACTGCTCAAACTGAAGCCATGTGGGTAGGGGTGGGAGCCCAGCGCCGAGCTGGGGAGGCTGGCTCTGAGCCCCACCCTGCCTGCAGTCATCCACTCCGGGGACTACTTCCTGTTCGAGTCTGACAGTGAGGAGGAGGACGAGGCACCGCCCGAGGACCCCAGGCCATCTGCACAGAGCGCCTTCCAGGTGAGGTCCCCTGCCTGCCCATGTCCATGGACCTCCTGGGCCTGGATGGGGCCAGCATGCCCTAGGGCCTGGGAGCCCAGTGTCTGCGTCCTCTGGGAAGCCTGCTCAGCCCATTTAGACCTCCCGTCCATAGTCAGATGGGAAAACAGGCACGGGAGATGCCAGCCATGGGTGACTACACGCCCCCTCTGTCCATTAGCTCCTGAAGTTCTGACTCTGACCATCCATGTCTGTGGTGGCCGGCGGGGGGCTGGCCTTTGGGAGGGGCGTGGCATGCTCTCTGGGTGCTGTCTGCTCCCTGGGGCCAGCAGCCTCCTGCCCATCTCTGGATCACTGGCTGTGTGTGGTGGGCAGCAGGGCTGCCCTGCCCTCCCCGCCCCACGGGGCCCTGGGGGCCCATTTCCTGCCCCTTCTCAGGAAGCTGAAGGTCCCCAGTTGGGCCAGCAGATGCCAGACCCTGCACCTCCTTGGGAGCTCCGAGGGGGGCCAGGTGGGCTCTGATCCCGGGAGGCAGGGTGCTGATCCAGGCGGCGCCCTGCAGATGGCGTATCAGGCATGGATGACCAACGCTCAGACGGTGCTGAGGCAGCAGCAGGAGGAGCGGGCGGGGCAGTCGCCGGCAGGTGAGTCCTGCCCGTGTGGGTTGGGGGTTGGTGTAGGGCTGCCAAGCGCTGACCAGCACCTCTGTGCCCAGGAGGCCAGGGCCAGTTGGCAGAGCCACCAGAGGACTCAAAGGACATGGCAGGTGCGTGGGCCCCCGGGCTCGGGCTCGGGCTCAGGCTGGGGTCTCTCATGGGCACCCCTCCAGCGCCCAATGCCTGCCCCCCTCGCAGGTCACAGCCACATGATGCAGCGTGTGCTGAGCACCGTGCAGTTTCTATGGGTTCTGGGGCAGGCGCTGGTGGACGGGCTCACACGCTGGCTGCGCGCCTTCACGCGGCACCACCGAGCCATCAGCGACGTGCTGCGTGCCGAGCGGTACCTGTTCACGCAGGAGCTGCTCCAGGTGAGCGACGTGCCCACAGCCCCACCCCTCACACCCCAGCCCTGCCTGCCTGCCTGCTTCCAAACCTGTGCACGGCCAGCCCCTGCCAGCCCCTCAGACCCGACCCTGCGGACCTGCTGAGCCCGGTGCCCCACAGGGCAGAGAAGCGCACCGCAGTGTGCTGGACCAGCTGTACACCAGCGAGGCCGAGGCTGCACTGCCAGACTCCTCAGAGGCCCACGATACGCCCAGCCCAGCGTCAAGGTGGGTGCCCACCAGGGGCTCGGTGGCTGAGCCAGCACCCGGCTGAGCCAGCCTTCCCTCGGACCCAAAGCCAGGGCACCTGCACCACTCTGCTTGGGGCCAGTCCACTGCGCAGGTCACCTCTGACCAGCCTCCCCTCCCACAGGGGGCTGGGGGCTGAGGAGCCACTGAGCACCACTGGCAGCCCCCCAAGCATGGGTCAGGGCGCCCACAGCGGCAGTGAGGAGACGGGCCCTGAGCCCAGGGCTTCCGCACACGGCTCTGGGGAACTTCGGGTCACTGCTGCCCCCCGGACACGCACAGCCAGCGAGCTGCTCCTCCACAGGTGCGCAGCAAAGGGAGGGCAGTGGGCGCTGGCCGTGGAGACTGCCTCCCAATGCCAGCAGGCTGGGCCTTGGGGGCCCAGCCAGCCCCTGAGCATGGTGCCCACAGGTGCCTGCACATCCCCGAGCTGGAGGAGGCCGAACAGTTCGAGGCCGAGCAGGGCCGGGCACTGCAGCTGCTGCTGGCGGGGTACCAGTGCGTGGCCGCCCACTCGGAGCTGCTCTGCTATTTCATCATCGTCCTCAACCACATGGTCACCGCCTCGGCTGTCTCCCTGGTGCTGCCCGTGCTGGTCTTCCTGTGGGCCATGCTGTCCATCCCGCGGCCCAGCAGGCGCTTCTGGATGACAGCCATCGTCTTCACCGAGGTGGGTGGCAGCTGGAGGGGGCCGGGGTCTGGCCCGGCCACGCTGAGCTCCCTTCCCCACAGGTCACGGTGGTCACCAAGTACCTGTTCCAGTTCGGCTTCTTCCCCTGGAACAGCCACACGGTGCTACGGCGCTACGAGAACAAGCCCTACTTCCCGCCCCGCATCCTAGGCTTGGAGAAGAGCGACGGCTACATCAAGTACGACCTGGTGCAGCTCATGGCCCTCTTCTTCCACCGCTCCCAGCTGCTGGTGAGCCGCGTGCCTGGGCGGCCAGCGGGCAGGCTCCCCAGCACGCACAGCCCAAGCCATCTTGCTCCAGGAGGCGGGGTGGGATGCCGTGGCCGCAGGGTGGGCCTGGCCGTCTTGCAGTGTCTCCGGGCCCCCCCATGACAGCCCTGCAGCTTCAGCCTGCCCTCCCTGCCGCCACAGTGCTACGGCCTCTGGAACCACGAGGAGGACCCACTCTCCAAGGAGCAGGACAAGGGTGCCAAAGAGGAGCTGGCTCCACCGGGGCCCCAGGAGCCAGAGGTGGCGGGGACCCCCATCAAGGGGGACATCCGGGCGGAAGCCAGGGACGGGCGGTCCCGTGACACGGGGCTTGCGCGTTTGAGTCTCCGGAGGAGGCGGAAGGAGAGCAGTGACCCCAGAGAGCCGGCAGCCTTCGGTAGGAGGCCTTGTCCACCACACCCTCGGCCGTGTGCCTGACGCCATGGCTCCAGCTGGCCCACGGCTGGTGACCCTGGGGAGGTCCCTGCTCGGCCTGCCAGTCTGCAGAATAGGGTGATGCCAGCCCTGTGGGGGGCCTTTCGGGGTGCTTGGCAGTCGGGGTCGGGCCCGGCTCCCATGGGCTGCTTTCAGCAGCAGCTGCTTCCCCCCAGATCCCAAGGACAGGGCGGCCGTGGAGGCAGCAGCCACCAGGAGCCGGAGGTGGAGTCGCCCCCGGGAGGGAGCGAGGGCGCTCGGGGCCCGGCTGCAGAGCTGCTGCCTGACGCTGTGAGTGGCCTGGCCTGCGCTGGGGGGCAGCGGCGGGGGGAGGGGGGCGAGGCTGGCACCACACTGCCCCCCGCCCCCCGCAGGGCCCGCGGCGTGTACCGGCCTCTGCGACACTTCTTCCGCGACATTCTGCACACCAAGTACCGGGCAGCCACGGACGTCTATGCCCTCATGTTCCTGGCCGACGTCGTGGACTTCATCATCATCATCTTCGGCTTCTGGGCCTTTGGGGTGAGCTAGGGCGCGGGGTCCCCAGAGAGCTGATACCCAGCGGCCGCAGGCCACCCTGACCTGCGTCCTCCTGACCACAGAAGCACTCGGCGGCCACGGACATCACGTCCTCCCTGTCGGACGACCAGGTGCCCGAGGCCTTCCTGGTCATGCTGCTGATCCAGTTCAGCACCATGGTGGTCGACCGCGCCCTCTACCTGCGCAAGACTGTTCTGGGCAAGCTGGCCTTCCAGGTGGTCCTGGTGCTGGCCATCCACCTCTGGATGTTCTTCGTCCTGCCCGCCGTCACCGAGAGGTGGGCGCCTGGCCAAGCCGGGGCTGGGGCAGGGGCCTCGGGCAGGAGCCCTGACCTGCCTTCCTGCCCTGCCCAGGATGTTCAGCCAGAACGCAGTGGCCCAGCTGTGGTACTTCGTCAAGTGCATCTACTTTGCCCTGTCCGCCTACCAGATCCGCTGTGGCTACCCCACCCGCATCCTCGGCAACTTCCTCACCAAGAAGTACAACCACCTCAATCTCTTCCTCTTCCAGGGGTGAGTGGGGCCGGCTGGGGGTGGAAGGCCTGAGGCTGCCCTCCTGCAGGCCCTCCTGACGGGCGCCTGGCCCTGGCAGGTTCCGGCTGGTGCCGTTCCTGGTGGAGCTGAGGGCTGTGATGGACTGGGTGTGGACGGACACCACACTGTCCCTGTCCAACTGGATGTGTGTGGAGGACATCTATGCCAACATCTTCATCATCAAGTGCAGCCGAGAGACAGAAAAGGTGCTGGGCCCAGGGCAGGGCTGTACACGGGTCACTGCCTCCTGGGGCAGACAGGCTGCCGCGAGAGTCCGATGGTGCAGGGGGGTCCTACTCCGGGACTCAGCCCACGTCAGCCTGAGGCCAGAATGCCACCAAGGGCCAGAGGGGCACGTCAGAGGGGACAGTGAACTTGGCCCTGTCGGGGCAGGCAGTTGGCAGAGCAGGCCTGAGAAGGCCCAGCAGAGACCCAGCCTCTCTCGGGCTGGCAGGGCGGGGGGCACTACAGTAAGCCAGGTGCTTGTTGTTCAGTGGCTTTGTTGAGAGAATTCACACAGCACGAGGCTTCCCTAAAGCAGACCATCTGGGGGTTTCCAGTGTATGCAAGGGCCGTGCAGCCAGCAGGCACGCCAGCCCGCCCACCCCTGCCCCTGCCCGCCACTGTCCACTGGACATCCCTGTAGGGGAGTCAGCATGGCGTCGGGCGGCTCCTCACTTGGCAGTGCCCCGGCTCTGCCCTGCAGTGTGCCTTTTGCTCATCCAGCTGCTCCAAACGCTAAAGGATGTTTGGGTCTCTCCTTGTTCATCATAACACGTGCTACTGTGGACAGTCCCAAGCTCTCCTGGGTACACAGGTGGGCGTGGGGTGGCCCGGTCAGGTGGTGGGCCTCACCTGCCACGGCGGCCGCCCCGTCTTGCATCCCATTTCTCCGGTCTCACCAGAGCTTCCTGCTCTGCTACGCGGGTCGCGGCTGTCCTGGCGGGTGAGGCGGCATCTCACTGTGGTTCCGTGTGGGTTTCCCTGACGGCCGAGGACGCTGACCTCCTTTAGCTGCACGTTCTGGCCGTTTGCGTCTTCTCTGGAGAGAAGTGTGTTCAGGGCCTCTGCCCGTTGCCCCCGCGGGCCGTCTGTTCACTGCCAGGCTGTACGAGCTCTTCGTGCGCTCCAGACGCTAGGCCCTCACCAGCCGCCCGATATGCAGAGCTCTCCCGCCACTCTGGGTTCTCCGCCTCGGCTGATGGGTCCTCTGAGACACAAAGGCTATTTTTTCAGTAATGTCCAATTTGACATTTTTTCTTTCATTGCTCATTTTTGGTGTTTGTCAAATCGGAGACTCTTGGAAAATCCAAGGTAATAAAGATTTGTCCCCAAGAGTCTGATGTAGGTCTTATATGTAATTTTTGTGCACCGTGTGAGGAGGGGTCCAACTCCATTCTCTGTATGCGGCCGGCCAGCTCTCCCCGCCCCGTTCACTGAGAGGCTGGTGTTGGCAGCACCCTTGTCTCAACACGAGGGTCCCTTCCTGGGCTCCCGCCTTCTGCCCTCCGGTCTCTGTTCTCCTTGCCCACAATGTCCTGACTGCCATAGCTCTGCTATCAGTTTGGAGGTTTGAATTTACTGGGCCGCTGGGTGAGCCCAGGACCGGCCACGTGAGGAGGAGTGGGGCAGGGTGTAGAGGACAGCGCTGGCCTGCACGGAGCGGGTGTGGGCACGGAGGCCTGCGCAGACCTGACCAGTGACCAGTTTTGCACCCCCAGAAATACCCACAGCCCAAGGGGCAGAAGAAGAAGAAGATCGTCAAGTATGGCATGGGCGGCCTCATCATCCTGTTCCTCGTGGCCATCATCTGGTTCCCGCTGCTCTTCATGTCCCTGGTGCGCTCCGTGGTCGGCGTCGTCAACCAGCCCATCGACGTCACCGTCACCCTGAAGCTGGGTGGCTATGAGGTGGGGGCCACCTGTCTGTTCCAGCCAGGGGAGGCAGTGACGCTGGGAGTGGGCTGCCCGGGGGGCCAGGCAGCCCCCAGCCCCTCGTCCTCACAGCCCGTGGGTGCTGCCAGCCAGGGGCTCAGGCGCTGCCACACCATGGCTCCCTCTCCCTGCCCCCAGCCCCTGTTCACCATGAGTGCCCAGCAGCCGTCCATCATCCCCTTCACACACCAGGCCTACGAGGAGCTATCCAGGCAGTTTGATCCCCACCCGGTGAGTAGCCCCCATACTGCAGGCTGCCTGGTGGGGAGGGGTAGCTTGGCCACATCCCACTGAGGTGCCACCTCGTACCCAGCTGGCCATGCAGTTCATCAGCCAGTACAGCCCTGAGGACATCGTCACGGCACAGATCGAGGGCAGCTCCGGGGCGCTGTGGCGCATCAGCCCGCCAAGCCGGGCCCAGATGAAGCGGGAGCTGGACAACGGTACCGCCGCTATCACCCTGCGCTTCACCTGGAACTTCCAGAGGTGCGTCCTGGGCTTGGGTACGGGGTCGGAGGGCGTGGCACAGGCCATAGTAGGTCACACTGCACCCCGGCCTGCAGAGACCTGGCCAAGGGCGGCACCGTGGAGTACACCAATGAGAAGCACACCCTGGACCTGACCCCCAACAGTACTGAGCGGAGGCAGCTGGCCAGCCTGCTCCAGGGCACCTCGGACCAGTCAGTGTAAGTGGGCAGGACCGGGCAGGGCCAGGGAGAGGGAGCGCAAGGGGCCGGGGCTGCTCCTGACCTGTTGACCCCCCCACAGGGTCATCCCCCACCTCTTCCCCAAGTACATCCGCGCTCCCAACGGGCCCGAAGCCAACCCTGTGAAGCAGCTGCAGCCCAGTGAGTGGGGGGCACTCGGGGGTGGAGGGGTGCTGGGTCCTAGCCTCCGCGGGGAGCGCGCGGGCCCTGACCCCTGCGGCTCTGACCCAGACGAGGAGGACGACTACCTCGGCGTGCGCATCCAGCTGCGGAGGGAGCAAGTGGGCACAGGGGCCGCCGGCTTCCTTGAGTGGTGGGTCATAGAGCTGCAGGACTGCCGGGCGGACTGCAATCTGCTGCCCATGGTCATCTTCAGCGACAAGGTCAGCCCGCCCAGCCTCGGCTTCCTGGCTGGCTACGGGTGAGTGCTGCGCGCATGGGTGGCCGGGCAGGCTGGCCTCTGCGGCAGCCCCGGGACTCACCCCGCCCCACCTGCAGGATCATGGGGCTCTATGTGTCCATCGTGCTGGTCATCGGCAAGTTCGTGCGGGGCTTCTTCAGTGAGATCTCGCACTCGATCATGTTCGAGGAGCTGCCGTGCGTGGACCGCATCCTCAAGCTCTGCCAGGACATCTTCCTGGTGCGGGAGACGCAGGAGCTGGAGCTGGAGGAGGAGCTGTACGCCAAGCTCATCTTCCTGTACCGCTCGCCAGAGACCATGATCAAGTGGACCCGTGAGAGGGAGTAGGCGGCGGCGCTCGCGGACTGCGGGGACCCACGCTCCGGTCCGAGGCCGCCTGCGGGGACACAGCCCCTGCCCGGCCCACCGGGCCCCGATGCTGCTGCCGGAAGGAAGCTGTGGTCCCTCCTCGGCCCCGGGCCACACGCTGTCCCTTTCAACATCCCTGCTTGGCCTGGCGTGGCCTAAGCCCTCCCTTCCCCTACATGTACTGTACACTTTTCTAATTAAAATGTTTTTATTTATGCTAATGGACCGTCATGTGCCCTCTGCCCACCCACAGCATCCGGCTCCACACGACGGGGGACCTGGCGGTCGGCTCTCGTCCAGGGCACTTGCCGCAGGCTCAGCTCTCACTGGCATGTACGTCTCCGCCTCCTGGACCAGAGCCTCCTGGGTCTGCGGCAGGGCCCTGGGGGACACACTCAGTGGGAAGCAGCCCCCGGGTGCTCCCGCCGGGAAGGCCCCTCCCGGGGCTCCGCAGTAGAGGGTCAGCCTGTGCCTCTGGCTCCGGAGCTGCGCCTCAGCCAGGATGTAGGGTGGCAGGGGGTCCAGGGAGGGCTGCAAACACAGAGCCAGTGTGGGCAGGGTGCAGTGCAGCCCAGAGCTGAGCCAGGGCCCGCCCGTCCCCCGGGAGCAGGAGGGCTTCCTGTGTCCCCAAGACTGGGGGGCAGCCACTCACCAAGTCCCTCACGGTCACACGGCAGCCATAGCAGAGGTGCTGGACGACCTGGGGTCGGGGGTCCCCCCTGCAGGAGCAGAGCTGGACCTGTGTGCCTGGTCTTGGCCGCTCAGCATGGGGCCCCAGGGCCTGGCCACAGGCTGCCTGCCGCCCCTGGAGCTGTGAGGTGCCACCCATAGGATGGGATGGGTTGGGATAAGGACTCACCTCCCATGTGGCCTGGCCGCTTGGCAGCAGCCCTGGGCCCCATCCATCCCTGCAGAAGAGCAGGGCCCCATGGGCACCCTGGCCTCAGCCGGTTGGGCAGGGGGCTGTGTCTGGGAGAGATTCAGGGTCTGGGCCCCGAAAGCGGTGGCACTGTCTGCAAGCAGAGATGAGCTGAGGGTACCTTGAGCTGCTGAGCCCCACCCCTGTGTACCCAGAAGGGCCGTAGCACGGACCGGCAGTGTCGACGTCCAGTGCGCACATACAGAGGAGACAGCGGGGGCCTGGGGGGCCAGCAGCACGGCCGTCCCTGGGTGCCTTGACCAGCTTCTCACTCGTCCTGGGGTGTGAGATACAGGGTCCGATCAGAGGGTGCCGGCGGCTCCCCTCCGCTCTGCTGAGCCCACCCCCCCCATGTTTGGGTAGCCACCCGTGGGCACACACACCTGTACACAGTGCTGACTGTAGAGGGGAACTGAGCCTGCAGCCGGAGCATGAAGGCCTCTGTCAGCCGGTGGATGCTGGCCTTTTCGGGGGCCTGAGGGGTTAGTTAGATGGGGGGCTGCAGGAGGGGCTCCAGTGCAGAGGAACAGCCCACCGTCAGCCCCCAGGAGCGTACTGCACTAGGGACAGAGCAGGCCAAGGCGCCTGCTTCCACACGGCCTGCTGCTGTTAAAAATTCAGTCATGAAAAAAATATAAAATAGCATCCATGACCAGTCACACTGCCCTCAAGTCTCCGACACTGCCTCCCCATTGGGTCTGTGGCCTTCCCAGAGACAGGCACTGGGGCCAGCTACCTGCTCTCCCTGGGCGCCACCTCAAGGGCATGCGTGGGGACACTGCTGTGGCACCAGGCAGGGAGCACTAAGGGCAGAGAGCCGGGGTGGACCTCTGAGCCCTGCAGCAGGGAGGCCCCTGCCCACCCCACCCCCACCACTTACCTTCGTATCAACAGCTGGTGTGAAGACAGAGGGGACCCCAAACAAGCGGTTGTAGAAGGCAACTTCCTTCAGCGTGTGGTCACGCATGGGCCGCACCACCACCACGTCCCCAAACCGTTCATCCGAGAAACCCTGGGAATGGGCTGTGTCTCTCACCATACCGGCTGACCGGCTCACAGCACCCTGCACCCCTCCCCGGGGGTCACATGCTCCCCCCGCCACACAGAAGCCCCTGGACCTGACTCACAAGATGCTCCTTCAAGTGAAGGGGCCAGAGTGTGAGGGCAGGAGGCCTAGGTGGCTGGGCACATACCGTGTCCCAGGCCAGGAAGGCCCCTCTCCCCAGCGCCAGGCTGGTCATGAGCTTGACAGCCAGACGGGTACAGCTGTCTCCTGTCATCAACTTGGAGTAGCCATGGGTCCGGGCCACATGCAGGATCAAGTGGGTCCTGCAGAGCGGGGCAGGAGTCTCAGGGGCTTGGGGTCAACAGGCAAGGACCCCAGAGTGGGGCAGGGGCTCACCGCAGGGTCTGCAGAAGCTCCTCCTTGGCCGTCAGGGTCTTCACTGAACTGAACAGCCTGGACAGAGCCTCAGTCTGGGCAGCTGCGGGTGGCACAGCGGGGCTCGGGGGGTCCTGGGTGCGGGGCCGGCTCAGCTGCTCCTCACCCACGGCTGCGCTGGGGCCTCCCCTGGGCCCCTCACTCCCCGGCATGAGCTGCTGCTGGAGGAAGCTGTCCACAGCCGTTTTGTAGGCCCCCTGCGTCCCCAAGGGCTCCTGAGCAAAGCTGCGCAGCACGGACGGGGGCAGGCTGAACACCTGTGAGGGGGCGAGGGGGTGGACCCAGGGAGGAAGCGTGAGGCCCTCTGCCGGCCCTGCCAGGGGGACACCGCAGTGGTCATCTCCAGGGGACCTTAGCAAGGACAGGCCCACCAACCTCTTCTAAAGCGACGACGTGCCACGGAAGGCCGGTGGTCTGCAGGACCAGCTCCACCTCGGCCAGCGTTTTGGCGCGGTCCTCCCGGCTCTGGCCGCAGGCCGCTCCCTCTACAACACGCAGGCAGAAGGGAGCCGTGGCTTAGCGCGCCCTGAGATCCCGGGAGGCTGAGCTCTGCGGGGCAGTGGTTTCTGTACAACTGCAGGACACTGACCCACTCTCCTTGGGGGAGCATATTCAGAGTGGGCGGTGGGCTCTCCATCGTGGCAGGGGCAGGGTGACTGGCCCCTGGGAGTCCGTCCCGAGGGGGCGGGGGCAGGGCAGTTACGTGCCCTTCTCACTCAGTGCCCTTGACCAGTGGGGCACACCAGGCAGACTTCCTTCCCAGCCCTCTGATGAAGGTCCGAGGCAGTCCAACGGGAGACGCTGGATGCCAGACAAGGGTGCTCGTCTCACACCGGGGCTTCAGTGAGGGCGCAGCATGGGCTGTCCCAGTGGCACCCGCTCTGAGCAAGTGGCTGGGGCCCCACTGGGAAAGGGCTGCACATACCATCGACGTAGACAACCCCTGGCACAAAACGCAGTCTTTTGGCAGAATCTCGACTCAGACCCTGGAGCAGGAGGAGACGGGGTCTAAGCCCCACAGCCAGAAGCCCAGGACGCTTGCCCAGCAGAGGCCACTCTCCACCCAGGTGGACACCCTCTGGAAAAGGGCACGACCCCACCATAGTGCACAGCCATTCAGACCCGGTGCCACAGAGAGGCCCTGCCTGGGACACCTTCACCCCCTCACACATCTGTCCCTGCTTCCTAGCAGTGTCCAGAGAAAAGCCGCTGGGCCCATATCAGCTCACCATGCCCCCTGCCCAGACACCCTGACCACGCAGCGTGGGACGGAACACGGTAAAGGTGAGGCACTGCTGTTTGTAGAGGGAAGGGCACTAGGTGCTGGACGAATGGCCGGGGGGGCGGGCACTTACCTCATGCCACCTGGCTGGGGGTAGGGGCCCCTGAAGTGAGAGCAGAAACCCACCGCAGAAGCACTGCCCTGGGGCCTGAGACTGCCCCCCAGAATTCCTGGTGCAGAGTGTCCCCAGGACCGCAGCCTCCGCCCCGCCAATCTGTGTCCCACAGAGGGCCTGTGTGTCCCACCACCAGGCCCAGGCCTCCCAGGAGCCCCAGTGCCATGGCAAGAAGCCTTGACTGCCTCCCATGCTCCACACCACGCCCGCCGACCAGATGGGAGCCGGCCCCTCATGCTGTCTCCCCCACGGTCCCCTCCCCGCAGGGCAGGGGCTGCCTCTCTGCCAGCACACCCCTGATCCCTTCATCTCACTTGGCACCCCCACTGGCATCACCCCTTAAACTTCCAGCTCCAGCCAGGGCGGGCACCTTCCGGGTCCCCCAAGGCACCAAACTCCCAGGACAAGAGGCTGGTGGCCTCAGGGACACCTCACGTGGCGCCCTGCCATGCTGATGCCCCTCTCCCAGGGACTGTGCTTCTAGGCGGTCAAGCAAATGCGCAGAGTGCTGAACTGGGACACGGCTGGGCTCTTGCAAACACATCCCGGAGCCCTCTGGGCAGCCCGGCTGGGGCAGGCTGCTCTCTCCACCCCCAAACAAGAGCCCCTCGGTGCCAGCCCCCCGACCCTGGAGCTGGGCCAGGTACAGGACGGTGTAGAGGCGCACCTCGAGGACCTGCCAGACCATGGAGCCGGACGACGGCCCCCCGGACCACGCCAGGAGCACCTGCGGGAGGAGGAGCACGGCTGGAGGCTCTGCGTCTCCAGCACAAGCCCGTGCCCTGTTTGCGGGCACTCCAGACACCAGCCTACCCCCTGAGCCCAGAGTATGATGCGGACAGCGGAGGGGCTGAGAACCGGGCGGGGGATGCTGCTCGGCCGCAACCCCGCTGAGGAGACAGCCCCCACTCTACCTTCTCTCCTGGGAAGATCAGCCGGTTCTTCCCAAGCACAGCTCTGAACTTGTGGACATAAAACGCCTTGAAACAGTCCCTGCAACACAGACCAGCAGCTGCTCCAGAGGCCCCGTTCTGCTAGGCTACAATTTCCTCTCAGCAACTTCTATCTTTGAAAGCAGCGTTTGACACTGAGGCTCTGCCCAGAGACCAGCAGGGGAGCCAGGTCGAGGGCTTCTCACCACCAGTGGCTGCCCTAGGATGGGCCTCACACCACACAGGGAGGCCCCATCCTCCCACAAACACCAGGTCATTACCCGAGGGGTCTGGAGCTCAGGCACACCTGTATGGCAGGTGCTCAGAAAGGCTTGGCTGGTGGGATGGATGGACACAGGCATGTGCAGGGCAACGCCCCCTGACACTGCCCTCAGCAGAGCTGGGGACCCCTTTAAGATCCCGATGGAGAGAAGCACCACCCCAGGGGGTGGAAGGGGAAGCCCTGAGCAGGCTGCGGGGCGGTGGTGGGGGCAGCATCGTGGAGCTCCACACAGGCCTCTCCCCACTGAGCTGATCTCACCTGGACCAGAAATGCCTGGAAGGGTCCTACAAGCAGAGTCCCGGGCTCTTCTTTAAACCCAGATTCAGGACTGCTGGGAGTCCTAGGAATCTGCATTCTTGATAAACCTTCCAGCTGACGTTTGGACTCAGTAGGTCAGAGGCTCTCAGCTTTGGCACATCAGAATCACCCAGGCCAAACACATTAGGATGTCAGGTTGAGGGCCAAGTCCCTGCATGAAAGTTGCCCTGGCGACCCCAGCAGGCGGTCGGCGTGGAGCCATGCACTAGGTCGGAGGGAGCAACACTGCCCTAAGGGCTACCCTACACTTGGGGCCATGCCCCTAAGTCTGTCCTTCCTGCCAAGACATACCAGTGTCCCCGGAAAGCTCTCCAACACTGAACAGGCACCACTTATGAGGAACCAACCAACCACCCCACGAGTCCTTTGCAGACAAGTTTTTATAGCAAATGTTAGGGCTCCACAGACCCCAGATGACCAGCCGTGAGAAGGGACGTCACGAAGGTCGTGTCATGGTGAAGTTGGGCAAGTAGACACAGAGGTTCGACTTCCTCCAGGGCTGAGGAAGAGAACCCTGTGGCTGCCACACTCCACGCCCTGCCTGCACCACTAAGCTCCTGAAATCACACTCACTCCCTAAATCAGGCCAGGCCAGGGTTTCCCACACATGCTGATGCTCACAATCAAGGCAACTTGCTCAAAACCTTGACTGAGATCTATAGCCTGGAAAGTCGGCTTCCCACCTTTCCTTGGGACCAAGCAAACACAGAAGGGGGAGCTGGGTCCAGTAAGAGGCCTGACAGCCTTGCCTAGAGCCACTGCAGCCTCTCTTTTCCTTACCAGCAAGTTCTCCGAACAGACTGGAGCAATCATCATTTTCAGATGCTTTTAAGTCATTAAAGCAATGGCTTCCTTGCCTAAACTCCTCCCAGGTGGTACACCTCATTCTACCCGGCTCCCAAAAGATGATCAGGGACATCAAAGTTTGGGGAATACAGTCCCTCCAACTTTTTTAGTCTGTTTGCTATATAAGGCATGCAACATCATTGGGAACTAACAGGAATAACAGAAGACAAGCCCTACCCTCTTGTGAACAGATGCTGGAAGAGGTATCATTCAAGGGCAATGTGCCAGGGCCACAGAGCATCAGATAAAGCGGAACATGCTCATGCCTGGCCTTCTGGGAATAAGCCTCTGCTCCTATCCAAACCCCTTCCATTCCACTTTCCCTCACAAGTAAACAGGCATCCCAAAGCACCTGCCCAATACCCAGGATGCTCCAACACGCTCCTACATGTTTCCAGGTGCTCTGAAATGCTTACCCAACTAGCCCTCACCAAAGTGCTACTGCCAGCTCTCCCCATCAGAACCTTCCTGCCACCCTATCCGCAACTGGATGCTGAGAGAGCGGTACCCACACAGGAAACTGATACTAGACCCCCCACACACACACCAGTCACCAGGAGTGATGTTAGAGGCAGGAGCAGTTTAACTGATGCTTTTGAAAGCAAGAAATAAAGCCACAGAAAGCAGGCAGATACTGGTGCTGGGTGGGACCATGTCTGCCAGGGTCTCCTACCCGCCAGCAGGCCTCACCTGCAGAAGGCATCTCCGGCTCGGATCACCACCACAGGTAGGCCTTCCTTGCACTTCACACATTTTAGCTCACAGCTTTGAAGACATGGGTGGAAGAGAGAACAAGGACACAGATCACACCCCTTCCTGCCAGCAGGCTTTGGGAGCCATGTTCTGTTTCTCACCCCAAGCTGGCCTATAGAGAGATCACATGGGGTGCTTTCAAACACAAACAGGGCTTGTGTCTTATCCAAAGTAACAACTTGAAAGAAAACAAAAAGGGTCCTGGGGGGGTTTTAGTCCGTTAAGGCTAGCTCGGGGCCGGGGGGTGAGGCACATAAAAGCCACCTTTCAGTCTCTCAGGCTCCGGTGGGAGAAGAGAGACAACTTGCTCTGTGCGGACCTGGAGGGGAGAAGGGGAGCTAGTGGGTGGAAACGACAGGGAGGCCGGTGGCCTCCTCCAGGAAGCGCCAGCGGGTCGGCGGGGAAGCGCGCCCCACCAGCCGCAAGAATCAGAGGTGCCGGAGAGCACACGGAGCCCCTCCTCAGGTGTCCCCCACTGGCTTGACAGGCACGCCCCGGGTGCTGCGGAGAGAGCTCCAGCCTCCGCCAGGGTCGCCAGGCCCCCAGGTCCAACGAGGCGCCCGGGGCTGATGGAGGAGGAGAGAGGCGGGTGCGGCCTCCCAGCTCTTACCCAGGCCGCGGAGGCGGCGGCCCTTCGGGCGCGGGGGCCCCGTAGTCCTCGCCCACCTGGCACATGGCGGCGCCGAGCCGGGATGGAAGGGAGGGCAGCGGCGATCGGGCGCGCTCTGATTGCGTCAGCGCGGCACTGTCGCAGCCGTGACGCGCGGACAGGGACGCGCCTTAAGACGTCAGTGCGGCGCCGTCGAGACCGCGAAGTGTAGGCCGGGGGCGGGGTGCGCTCTGATGACATCAGAGCGGCGCCGTCGGGGCCGTGACGCGCGGGCCGTGCCGGGACAGGGGCGGCGGCGGCGGCGGGCCTGGCCCCGGGATGGCGATGTTCCGCAGCCTGGTGGCCTCTGCTCAGCAGCGGCAGCCGCCTGGCGGGCCCGCGGGCGGCGACAGCGGCCTGGAGGCTCAGTACAGCTGCCCCATCTGCCTGGAAGTGTACCATCGGCCCGTGGCCATCGGCAGCTGCGGCCACACGTGAGTGCGCCGGCCTCCGGGAGGCCGCGGGGCCGGGACGCCGCCGCGGGGAGGGCCCCGCACCCGGCCCGGAGTCCGCGCAGAGGACTCGGGGCGAGGGGCACCGGGGGCGCAGGGCTCTCTGGGCGCGTCCATCCGCTTCAGTTCAGCCCCCTGCCCACCAAGCCCGGGCGCTCGACCCAACCACCCCGTCGGCACACGGGGCCATCTGCAGCCCTGCTCGGTCTCGGGCCCCCGGGGTCTGCTCATGGCCTCAGCGGCCCTCCCCGGGTACCCCAAGGGCAGCAGGCGCGACCACTGAGCCAGTCCTCTTGGATTGGGTCCCATGGATACTAGGGTGGGCAGATGTAAATAAATGCCCTGTGGCTTTTGCTGTCAACTCTTTTTCAAACTTGGTGTCTGCTTGTCTTGGGTGCAGAGGACTTCCGTAAAGTTAGGAAAGGGGCTTGTTTTAGGAGTTTGTTTTGTTTTGACTGAGGACTTGGATCTCATCGATCACTGAACAGCCAGGCAGTCTGACCTCAGGTGACCTTACGAGGGTCTCCAGCTGCCCCAGGGCCCAGAGCAGGCTCCTGCAGGGTGTTTCAGGAACAGAAACCGGAGGATGCGGCTCTCCTCCCAGCTGAGAGCTGCACGTCTGGCTGGGAGGGAGCCGAGGTCAGTGACTACTCTGCCACTCTCCCAAGTGGCTGAACCATACAGTTCCTGAGTGAAGCTAAGTAGGTGGGGAGAAGAATGCAGCCACTGCGTGAAGCTAGTAGGGAACAGGAGGGCTTGGCTGCCAGCAAGCAGAGCTGCTGGGAAGGTGGGGCTTTCACTCCAAGGGGCTGAGCGGAAGTGCTCAGGCTGGTGGGAGGCCCTAGAACATTTTGCAAAGACAGCTGACTTAGGAGGTTCTTGATACAAAGAGGGAACTGGCATTGCTGGGTGGGTGTGTGCCTGCTTGTCATGCAGGGAGATGTCAGGGATGGGTCAGGATGCAGGAAACGTTACTTCCTTCCCCTGGTGCCGGTGGCACAGGCATCTTCCTACAGCAGAACATTAACTTGTCTTGAAGGGCACCATACCTCACTTTGTCACGCTGCTTCTGACGTTTTGGCAGAGGCAGCCTCTGAGCAGAACTTCTTTCTTGTGAGCACATCCTGGCGGGTGTTTTCGGGTGTTCTCTGCACCTTCCAGTCCTGGGCCCCTTCAGAAAGCCGCTCCTGGCTTCAGGCGGTGTCCCCATGGCACCAACACCCACCCAGCCCTGGGCTACCGGGTTTCCAGTCTCCTCACCTGCACAAATCTGCATTTTCTCTCATTTGTTTCAAATAAGGCTTCTTAAATGTGGTCTTCAGAATACAGAATTGTTGTGAAAGCAACGTCTCCTTTGATCCCCTCCCCCCAGACTTTTCTTGGCAGGAAATGACCTGTTTCTCAGGCTGGTCCTGCAGGAGCCTTTTCCACAGCCTCTGCCTTAAAAATTTTTTCTGTCTGTTGACTTCTTTTCTTGGCCATTCTGCCTCTACTTTCCCTGTTTCCTGTGTTGTGAATGCACATGTGCAAATAGGCGCAGAAGATCTAAAGACTCGTGCCTTTCCTTAGAAACAGTTGTCTTGGTGGTCTGGTTATTTCTCCTCCTCAGCTACCTGGCTGAAAGTGGCTTCCTTCCGCAGAATGGGTTTTCAGGTGGTGAAGGCAGCCTTGTATGGGACAGGTACCCCTGCCCCAGTGCCCAGCAGAGAGGGGAGGGTCATGGGGAGGGCTGTTGAGCAGGAACTCAGGGGCAGGAGTTTCTTCAGTAGCGCTTGTGAGAGAGCTCCTGGGAACTCCCTAGGGGCCCCAGAGGGAGCTGGTTATCTGTCACACTTGGGGGATGTCCTGGGCAGCAAGCCACATATGAACCAGAAGCTGCTTGGCTGTTTATAATCCTCTGATGGGCCCTACCCTGAGGGCCTGTGCGCACTTGCGGTGGGGTTCAGCCCTGACTGCCTGTGTCCCTCTAGCCAGTGCTGTTTGTTCCTCCAGCTCAGCGTCCCCCCATGCAGTTTTTTAATGGACAGAGGTCACAGGAAAATTAAAATGCTGGTGTTGAAGAGGAACCATGGGGTGTGGTAACAGCAGATGTTTTCTGAGCACTTCTTGCACAGCCCTGTGCGGCAGGTACAGAGAAAAGGGACCAGAGATGCTGAGTAAAGCTTCTGAGTGTCGCAGCAACACCAGGCTTTGAGCTCCTGCAGCTGGGCCCTGGCCTGCTTCCTACCTGCACCCACACCATCTGTAGCCTGCCACCTAGCGCTGTTGCAGCAGTGACTGCCAGGCCCCGGGGACACCCGGGACAATGAGCTGGCTTCTTTGTGCAGGGTCCTAGGGGCCCCAGGGGTTTCCATCACTCCCTTTCTGCCACCCGAGAGCACAGGCCTGGGTCAGGTGCAGGACGGTTCCTCTGAATCTGTGTTGGTGAGCCAAGTCAGGTGGGCAAGAGTGTGAGCAGCCGAGAGCTCAGCCAGCGGGGCTCTGGAAGTCAGACCCCACCGCTCAGGACAGCTGCAGGGGCCCGGGGGCCCAGCCAGCTTGCCCCCCGGGGTCTCTGAAACACCGGCCTCTCTGGTGCACCTGTGTGTGCAGGAGGCCAGGGCAGGCGTGAGACGTTGGTGGTGCCCCTGGAGCATGGGGTCTGTGCGGCAGCTGCCTGGCCATTCCAGCTGTCCCACGCCTGGCATGGGGGAGCAGAGCCCTCAGCTGCCTCCAGTGGTTTCTCGGCACCAGCCGCTCAGGCAGACGCAGCAGGATCCCCAGTGGGAGGCGGGTCTGCTGTCTGCCGCAGTGTCAGCGTGCTGGTGATGATGTGGGAACGCAGGCCACGGTGGACCTCCAGGACTGTGACCCAAAGACCAGGGTGGCTAAGCCCGGGGGTCAGCGGGGTCCGAGCACCCCTGCCTCCTCCCGCTGGAGGCACCCTTCACTCCAGTCGTCGGTGCATCTTTTGCTGACACTTGTTCCTCCTGAGGCCCGGGCCCTGCCTTCTGCCCATGGTGTGGCCGCATGTCCCGCGTGCTCCTGTGGCCTCTCCTGGTGTTGCAGCGTTACGGGGACGTGACTCCCTCATCTGAGGTGTGTGGCTCTGTGGTCGATCCACAACCACCAGTCAGCTTTAGATTGTTCCCATCGCCTCAGAAAGAAACCCTGACCCCACAGCAGTGAAGCCCATAGCCCCGGCCCCCACAACCACCGATCAGGCGGCCTGTACTGGCCATTTCACATGCAGAGAGTCTCACACCACTGGACCCTCTGTGGTCCTTTGTGATCGTCTTCTCTGAACAAACATTTCCAAGCGTCGTCCATGTGGTGCCGTCCGTCATCCCGTTCCCCCCCCCTTAAGGTTGAGTGGCACCCGTCATGGGAATGGGTCATGTTTTGTATGTCTGTGGACACTGGGTTGTCTTCACTTCTCGACTCTGGGGCAGGTGCTGCTGTGAGCACTTGTGTGTTTCCTCATGGCCTCCTTGCTGGGACCATCCAGTCAGTGAATTAAGAGCCCCACCCACCATCCATTAGGCTGGTCAGGTCCTGCCGCTGAGAGGGCCAGTACCTGCCAGAGCGCCAGTGAGTGGGTGCGTGGGTGTCTCCTTTGCACGCCTGCCAGGGGTGCCAGGTGATCCCTCTTCAGGTGAGGTAAGTGACAAGGGGCCATTCCAGCTGTCCCACAGGCCTGGCATGAAAAGGTTGTTTCCCTACTTGGCAGGAAAAGGTTGTTGGGAACTTTCTGACGGGCCTCAGGCTTCCCTTGGCCTCCTCCTGTGCACAGATGTTACCTGTGCTGGTGAGCCAGGTGGTGGCTGCACCAGGAATCAGCCCGAGGTGGAGGACCTAGGATTGGGCAGCAGGAGGCACTCGGACCTCCTTGGCTGCCTTTTCCTAAGGAGGAGGTGGAACGCTGCTGGCAGAGAGAACGCTGACCACTTAGCTTAGCTGGATGTCCCCTGTGTCCCACACAGCTCCTGTCCCCACCCGTGGCCCAGCTGCTTGACAATTGTGCACACCCTGATTCCCTGCAGATTTCATGCAGTCTGCGCAGGTGCCACCTTTCCTGTGCACGTGGACCCGGCCCCCGTCCGGGGGCTGCGCACCCACTCTGGGCTGTGGGGGCTGTGATTCCCAGTCCAGCGTCAAGGCTGGGAGAGGTGGGCCGCACTCAGGCCCTTCTGCCCTTCTTCCACGCTGGGAGTTTTCAAGCCTGTGTTCCCGCTGACCAGCTTTCCTCCTGCCTCACTGATGCTCACCCTTCGGCCACGTGGAGGAGGTGGTTGTAAAAAGCGGCAGAGGGGCCCGAGCACGGTACCCACCAGCTGCCCCCGTGACGCAGCACCTCTGGGGACAGGGCCAAGAGTCAGGGCTGTGAGGAGCCGCAGGTGCCCGGGAACACACCAAGGGCTAGGGGCACCTGTGCTCAGGCCGGGCCAGCAGGGGATGCTGTCCCAACTCTGGGGACACCTGGCGGCTCTGGCCCTGCCCGGACCAGTGAGTCCCGGGCCCTTGGCCCCTACGGCTCCCTCCCCCACCATTGTTAGTGATTTTACTCCTCAGAGCTTAGTGGGTAGAGGGTCTCCAGGGTCCCTTGAGCCCCTGAGGTGTCCTCACCACATGGTAAGATGGGCAGGCTGAGCCCTGGGCCGCCCCGTGTGGCCATGCCAGGACCCGGGCTACATGGCTGCAGCTCTGCACCCGTGTCCAGGACAGGGCAGAGGTCAGAGACCCGCGGCCTGGAGGGGCCTGGGTCATCTTTCAGCCAGATGGCGCCATCCAGCCGTGGGCCTGGGCACAGAAGCCACCACCTCTGGGAGCATGTGTGCCGGGCGAGGGCGGGGCGTGCAGGCCCTTACCTGCGCCTGCCCACAGGTTCTGCGGAGAGTGCCTCCAGCCCTGCCTGCAGGTGCCATCGCCCCTGTGCCCACTGTGTCGCCTGCCCTTTGACCCCAAGAAGGTGGACAGGGCCACCCATGTGGAGAAGCAGCTCTCGTCCTACAAGGCCCCCTGCCGGGGCTGCAACAAGAAGGTACCACACCGCGGCCTCCTGGGGCCGGGAGGGCTTCGGGGTCACTCCAACAGTGTGGCGCCAGCCCCCCCCTCTCGCTGAAGAGCCTCCCCACTGCCCCACTCCTTCCTGCTGACCCTGCCCTGTGTCCCCCACGCCTGCCCGGCCAGGGCTCTGGTTTGCTTGTGTGCATTGGGGTTGATGCAGGACAAGGGCCGAGCTGAAACCCCCAAGGCACAGCCTGGACACTCGAGTGGCCCTCCCACTGCAGGCGGTGATGGCGACAGCGAGGCCAGCCCGGAGCCAGGCAGTGGGGCTGAGGGCAGCATGGGGAGCATCCCCGACCCCAGCCAGCCTTCTCCACCTGGCCTGGAGCCCACCCTCTTCCCACTGCTCCCGCAGGGGGAGGAGCCCCTGGGAACTGACTGTGAATTTACGTTCTCAGACTCGGCCGTCTGTTGTGGTAACGAGTCCTACCAACCTCTCATAGAAGAGAGCATCCCCCGCTGCTTGGTCCTAAAGGTCAAAGTTCGGGTGGTCAGGGATTGCCCTGAGCCCCGCACTGGGGGCAGCTGGGCCGGCTTCAAGCTCACGAGCCCCTCGCTCCGTGGCAGGCTTTCTCCCCCGGGGAGATGGACCAGGGCCCTCCTGAAGCTTCACGAATGAGGCGGCCTGCCCTTCACCACAGCCTTTCTGGTTCTGCCCATGCCCTTGGGCCCAGGTGTGGGCCTCGCTCAGGGCCCGGCAGCCTGGGCAGAGCTGGGAGCCGGGCTGGGGTCAGGAGGATCATGGCCCACGGCCCCAGACACATGGTCGGAGCTGCCAGGGCCGGTGCCCTGTGCCCTTGGGGGCAGCTGCCTCTTACCGCCCTCCGCTGCCTCCGCATTTCTGTGAACTGGTTTCCCATCTGGAAATGTTCCACTGGCCTCTTAGCAACACAGCAGGATTTGTGGCATCTGCTGCCCAGGAGGGTTGACACACCTCTTCGCCCACATCGTTCACTCGAGGCACACTAGGGTCCCCTCCCTGTGCTGTTCTGAGCCACGTCCCCCCTTGGCCAGAAGCGTGTGGTTCAGGGCAGGCAGAGAAGGTTGGGTTGTGCTTGGTCTGGTTGTGCACCTCTGGGCAGGGAGTGTTTTATTAGAACTTTGTGGCTCCTGCTGTGAGGGTCATTTTCCTCCAAACAAAGCCTCTCGTGTTCCGTACGGGCTGCCCCTCCTCCTCTCCAGCTAGGGTGCGCTTCTGGCCAGGGGCCTGTCCCCTGCGAGGCTGTGAGCTCCCCTGCCAAGCATGACAGTGGCCCCCTTTGGGGCCACAGTCTGTGACTCATCCCCGCAGCTCTTCTCCAACAGGGATGCCAGCCCCTGGGCAGCTTCCCGCCCCACTTAGGGTGCCAGCCTGAGCATCAGGAGCAGGGACCACCCTGCCTGACCCCCGCCCTGCCTCTCCCCCAGGTAACACTGGCCAAGATGAGGGTGCATGTCTCCTCCTGTGTGAAGGTCCAGGAGCAGATGGCCAGCTGCCCCAAGTTCGTCCCCGTGGTGCCCACGGCCCAGCCCATCCCCAGGTAGGCCACCCTGTCCCTCAAAGGGCAGCATGGGCCTGTGTTGTAAGGTGGGGACAGCACTGCACCTGAGGAGGTGGGAAGGGCTGCTGTGTCCTCCCGCCCATGCAGGGGACCCCAGAAAGGCCGGCATCCCCTCCTGGCGGGATAGAACAGCCTCATGAAAGGCCTAGGCTGGACAGATGCCTCATTCCAGGCCCAGCCACCTCAGGGGCAGGGATGGGAGGTGATGAGGCAGCAAGCTGCGCCCCAGAGCGGTTGTGGTGGGGTGAGAAGTCAGTGAGAGCGCCCTTGCTGGCCTGGACGTCCAGCTGGGCCTCCTTGCTGCCCGCGGTCCTGTCGGGCCTCTCTGGGCTGCAGGAGGGTGGGCCATGCCCAGTGGCTGCCGCTCACCCGCCCACGCCGCCCCAGCGCCATCCCCAACAGGTCCACCTTCACCTGCCCCTACTGCGGCGCCCGCAACCTGGACCAGCAGGAGCTGGTGAGGCACTGTGTGGACAGCCATCGCAGCGACCCCAACCGCGTGGTGAGCCTGCCCCACATGCGGCTGCCGAGTCCCGGCGGCTCCCGGGGCCCGGGGCCCCGCCGCGCATCCCTCACCTGCACCTCGTTCCAGGTGTGCCCCGTCTGCTCGGCCATGCCCTGGGGCGACCCTGGCTACAAGAGCGCCAACTTCCTGCAGCACCTGCTCCACCGCCACAAGTTCTCCTACGACACCTTCGTGGTGGGTGCCCTGGGGGCCTCCCTGCTGGGCAGGGGTGCCTCTGGCAGTGGCCCGGGCCGTGGTAGCGTCGGGATGGAGGGGACCCGAGTGCCTGCAGTGGGGACAGGCTCCCTGGGTCCTGTCCAGCTAGAAGGACTTGCCTCGCCCTCAGGCCCCTGCTCCGGCCTGCGGCGGCCCCCAGCCCCAGGCGGTCAGGCTCTGCCCTGCCGCCCAGTCCTAGCTGGTGGGCGCCATGGAGATGTCCGGCTCCTCTGCCGGCCTCAGAACCCTGCCGCTTGCAGCTGTCTCTCAGCGCCCGCCCCTCTCAGAGACCTTCTCGGCACAGTCACTGGCGAAGGGGTCTGCCAGGGGCCCGCTTGCAAGGCCCCGGAGCCTGTGGGGAGACAGGACCTGGGAGAAGCCAGCTGCAGGCCCATGTGACATCCCACGGAGCAGCTGCTGTGTGGCCCCGTGGCCCCAGGGCCCCATGACCATGCAGGGCCTGGGTCCTGACCTGGATCTTGCTGAAGGGAGTGGGGACACTGGAGATGGTAGCGCTGGTCTGTTCAGGGTGACCGGGCAGGTGGCCCTGAGCGGCCAGCAGCGCAGTGAGGCTTGCCTGGGCCCGGCCCACCTCCATTCCCTGTCTTCCAGGACTACAGCATCGACGAGGAGGCTGCCTTCCAGGCCGCCCTGGCCCTGTCTCTCTCCGAAAACTGACAGCATGGCCCAGCCTCTGGGACGGAGCCCTCCCGCCTGGAGGGACAGCCACACTGGCTCTCTGTGGCCCAGCACCCACACTGGAGGCACCTTGCAGGCCAGGTGGAGCCCCCTCATTGCTGGAGGAGACGCACCCTGATCCCACCCATGACCGGGAGGCTGGGTCTCTCACCCTTCAGCTGCCACCCATGCTTCGTCGGTGCCTTCGGGCCAGCCTCTGGGGACTGAGAGCCGCCGGCCGTCTGTCTCAAAGCCATGATGTCCTTCCCGTGCTGAGAGGGACCCCTTCGGGCTGAGCTGCTGACCAGGGACGCGCGGGGGAAGACCTGCCAGTGGCCGGCTGGCCCGGCGGCACAGCGCTCACCCCTCGTGCACAGGCACCAGCCTTTGTTGGCAGCTCGAGGCTCTGGCTTTTTCTGCGTTATCCAACGTGAGAAACCTCTTCATGTTTTATAGCGCAAAGACAAGGCAATTACTCTTCATATCGCAATATGTGTTTGACTAGGAACAATAGTATTTTTATGGGACATTTACAAAATTATTTTTTTTAAAAAAACAACCAAAAATGAGCAGCTGTGTGCAGGGTAGGGAAGGAGAGGGGCAACTGTGGCCGCGCCCCCAGTCCTCTCACTGTCTTCAGGGCCCCGTGGCTGGTGTGCAGTGATGACGACCCAGGGGAAGTGCCAGCACTTGGGTGTGGCAGTGGCTGGGTCTGCTCCACGGCCTCCCCTGCAGGCCGGGCGTCTCCTGCCTGGGGTCCTGGCCACAGCCCCGCCCCAGGCAGGGCCCCCGGTGAGGACAGCCAGTGGCCTGTGCGGTCGCGGCCAGGCTGGAAAACACGTGGTGGTACCCTTGTTCAGTTCATGGCATGAAATTATTGCTGTCTTTTAAAAAAATTTAATAAAATGTTTCAGAGCATATCTAGCAGCCTTGATGGCTGGGTTTCATTGTAGGAACGTTACAAGCAAGGGCTGGTATGGGGTCTCTGTGGCCTTCTCTGCTTGCAGTCTGCAGGTGGGCTTGTATCCCCGGGCAGCTCAGGCTTGGAGGGCCACTAGCCTTGGGCCCGTGAAGAGGACATGGTGGCCACAAGAGGTGCCGTGGCGCAGCCAGCCTGCCACAGCAGAAGAGGCAGGTGCCAGTGGACCGACCGTTCTGTGGGCCCGTGCCTTCCTTGGGGTCTACAGCCAACCTCTGGGGTGGGTGGGCACAGGAGCAAGCTGCAGGGAAGTGCCAACAGCTGCAAGTGGTGTTGCCCTCAGGTCTGGCACTGGGTCAGAGGGGCCAGGGTCTGTTCTCCTGAACCACAGCTGCCGCACTTCACGGGGTCCTCCCCCAGGGCGAGCCCGCGCACTGGGACAGCAGGAATCTACTCTCCCAGGGTTCTGGAGGCCAGAGCCCAAGACCAGGTGCTGGCAGGGCTGGACCCTCCTGCGGGCAGAGGGAGCACCCACCCTGACCCTTCAGCTTCGCGCAGGACTGCCTGTCATTAGATGTCTCCACATCATCTGCCCCTGTGTGTGTCTGTGTCCAAATCTCTCTTTTATGAGGACACAGTCACTGGATGGAAGCTCACTCTGGGGACCTCATCCTGACTACCTGACTGTCTTTCCACTAAGTCATAGCCAGAGGTACCTGGGTTAGAACTGCAACATCCTTTGGGGGACACAGTTCATCCCCTAACTTGGCCTGTCAGCTTATGGCCAGCAGCGCCACCCAGAAAAGCATACTTCCCGGGGGTGGGTGCGGCGGGCTGCTCGCAGGTGTGGGTCTCTGTAGGGTGCCAGAGCCACCATGGGGCCCCAGAGGTGCTGAGGAGCCCTGGGAGGCTGGCCCACGGCCCAGACCCAAGCCAGGGTCCGAGCCGGCCAGGCTCCTACAGAGGGGTCCTGCTGAACGTGTTCACCAGCTCGCTGGGCCAGCAGACAAGGGACCCGAGCCCGTCAGATGCCCTGCCAGCCCCTTCAGGATACACTTGAAGGGGCCCCAGGTTCTGCAGGCCCAGCTTCTGAGATGCCTCCCCGCAGCCTGGCTGCAGGTCAGCGGTGCTCGCAGCCCAGGGAGCTCGCCTGGGGTCCTGGGCACATCTGGGCTCCTGTGACAGAAGCTGCTGTAGGGGTTCAGACACCTTGAGCCCAGGGAGGTGGGAGACAGAGGCAGACCAGCGCCTGGACATCCAGCCCTTCGCTGTTAGAGAACTGGGCTCCGAATGGCCTTCTGGTCTCTCTGACAACCTGCTAGGGATGAGGAGCTAGACCCAGTGTGTGGGCACAGAGCTGCCCAGCCCACAGCCCCTCTCCTGGGGGCCATTCTCCCACTGACGCCTGACCTCCATGTCGCACAGGGACAGTGCCTGCGCCCGGACACATGCACACACAGGCACTCTGCACACATGTCAGGATGCAAGTGTGTACACATACTAACACGTGTGTACACAGTGCACCCCTGCTGGGCCCAGCCTCCAGTCCCCTCCTCAGCACCAAGACCACTCACTCTGGTGCCCCCAGATGTCTGGGACTCTGTCATGAGCCATGTGGGAAGAGACAATAACCCCTCGGCACCCTCACATCACACAGGCTGTATCTGCTGAGCCCCAGTCAGGAGCCATATCAGCTCTGACAGGCCCCAAAACAGAATGAGCAGCCGTTCACTACCAGAAATGAGGGCCCCTTCACTGGGTGCGACCAAGCAGGCTCTGTCACCAGCCTGACCTGACGTTGGGTCCTGGTTTCCACAGTCCATGACCTTGGACAGCCACACCCACCCCCTGAATGGACTCCACATGCTGACATGGTGATCGCCACTGCGGCCAGCACCTATGTGCAAGGAAGGGGTCACCTGTCCTGGGTCCTGCTCCTCAGCAAGCTGCCGTCCCCACAGTCCCAGGTGTCAAGGGGAGACACCTGGTTTCCGCAGGAGAGCCAGGACCTTGGAGGCCTGCCTGTCCCACTCTGGCTGGGAGAGGCCCATTCCAGGACACGGATAGGATGCAGGTCCCTGCAACGGGACGGGGCATGAGGCTGAACCGCCAGGCTGAGTGGCCATACGAGGACAGACGGACACAGAGCAGAGCAGGTGGGGACAACAGGTGCTGTTCTCCTCTGTGGGTCCTTCTCGGTCCAGCCCGGACACTACCTTGTGAGTCACACCCAGTCCCACAGTGACTCACACCCCCACAGGAGGGCAGTTCTGAGAAGCCAGTAGGGACATCAGATTCCCGTCCGGGGCATTTGTTAGGGCAGCTCTAGGAGAGGAATACACTGCCCCACCCCAGAGCTGCCCTAAGGACTTGGGGTCGCCGGGGGTTCCAGGATGAGACCAGCGGGTCGTGCACAGGAGTGCTCCAGCTTCCCTAAACAGTGCGCCCCTCTTTGTCTCCTGGGGATGAGGGAGGTCGTCATGGCTGGCAGCCACACAACGGGTGCCTGGGTGAGGAGGGCAGCATGGGTGCAGAGGAAGGCCCAGCGTGTGCACTGTCTACATCTGGTGTGGGGGGAGAAGGCAGAGGGTATAAACAGAAAGCTGTGAGGACTCCGAGCAGGGGAACAGCAGAAGGTGGCCATGTGTCATCTCGAATCTCATGCGTGGCAGTGCGGTAGCAGGCTGTGGCCTGGGGAGACCTGTGCCTCCTCTAGCGCGCACCCATCCGAGTACCATCTGTCCTTCTGCCCTCCTTCCCCAGCAACACACGGGTCCACACGCCTGGTGTCAGGACGGAAGCGTGGCCTGGCCCCCAGTCCCAAGGCTTCCTCGCTTCTCAGAGCCTGTTTCCTCCTCCGCAAAGCGGGAGGGCATGAGACACTGTGGAACGTGACCTCACCCACCCCACCAACCCCACTGTCTCCAAGGGTGCTTCTACAGACCCTCCACTCTGCCCCCCGACCCACAGCTGGCAAAGAGCACCAGACTGTCACGTGGCACTGCAGCCCTGGAAATGCCCTGCGCTCTGTCAGACTGCCCCATCTGACCCCTGAACTCATAGAAAGGACCAGACACCCAGACATGACAAGCCCAACTCTTCGTGACACTAAGGACTTCAAAGGATACCAAAGGAGGGACATGTCTGCCCAGGTCACGACGAGCTGGTTGCCCAGCGCACATGCCCCCTCTTTGATTAAACTCGCCATAACCTCATGTCTGAACTCCTCGAAATTCCAGTGTTCCAGGCTGTGTCCTTTCTCCCAACCAATGAACTGCCTGGCGGCCGGGGCCAGCCCCTGACGCACTGTCTCCAGCCGCTCGCCCAGGCCGTCTTCCCGGTGCAGGTTTAAGGGAGGGTCCCGAGGACGGTGGGTGGGTGAGACTGAGGGTGGCACGGGGCTGCGGACCCCCTGCTCACCACTGTGGCTGGGGGCTGGGTGGGCTGGGGCCCAGGGCTTGCCCACCTCGACCCCGCGTCCTACGGACCCCACCGCTGGGGGCCTGCTCGGGCGGAGGGCGGGGCGCGGCGGGAGCGAGGGCTCTCCGAGGGGGGGCTGCTCGCGCGCCCCCCGCCCTGCGGACCGGAGACTGGTCGGCGCCCCGCCAGCCCTGACCTGCGCCCTCTAGTCCCCCGCGAGCGGGTGCGCCAGGCCCCAGGGGTCCGGGTGGCTCGGGGCGCGCGCCAGCGCAGTCGGGCGGGGAGCCCCCGCAGCAGCGCCCCCTCCCCGGCCGCGCACCTGTCCTGGGCGTGGCCCGGCCCCGCCCCGCGGCCTCCGCCCCGCACGCGCCGCGCCCTCATTGGCCCCGGCGGAGCGGTATGCTAACGACCCGCCCTCCCGGCACCTGCCGGCCGCGCTGCCCGCGGGCGCCGGGACGCACGGGGGGACCCGCGGCCGCCAGGGGAGCATGCCGCGCTCGTTCCTGGTGAAAACGCACTCCAGCCACAGGGTCCCCAACTACGGGCAGCTGGAGACGCAGAGAGGTAGGGGTGCGGGGCGACATGGCCCACCAGGGCTCAGCTGCGCGGGTGAGTGGGCGAGGCCCCCGACCCAGGTGGGAGGAAGGAGTCAGCTCGGCAGCACATCTGGGGCCGCGACCCCACGGCTGCGGTAGGAAGGTGGCCCGCGGGCGTCTTGTCCACTTCGGGTACCTTGGCCCTGCGTGGGGCAGAGTGGGTGGGAGTCTCTCCCCACTTAGAGAAGTTTCTAGGCCCTCAGTCACCCTGGGGCTCTCCTGCTGTGGAGTGGGGCACCCATCCCAGCTAAGGGAACCCGTGGCCAACTTACTGGTGCAGGGTTTAGGGAGGGGTCCCGAGGACGGTGGTGGGTGAGACCGAGGGTGGCACGGGGCTGCTGAGGAAGGGCCCCGCGGACGACCCCGGCTGGGGCGGGGAGCCAGGCGGCTGGAGGAGTGACACAGGCTGCTAGGCGCCAGGGCCGGGCCTGTCCCGCTGTCCTCTGGGCCCCCCGGGCCTCCTCACCCCTCCGTGGGTCTCCTCTCCTCCCGCCCGCGCCGCCACTGCAGGCACGGGACACGGGAAGGTCCCAGGACAAAGGCCTCTCTGGAGTGGTCAGAGCCGTGCCCCCAGCCCAGCAGCTCCTTGGGGCGAAGATCTTTTGGGGGGCAGCTGGTGGGCTCGGGGAGGTGGGCACTGAAGAGGCCTCAGAGCCCTTTAGCGATCCATCTCAAACCAGAGTGGGGAGGAAGCCCCCCGACGGACGCCCAGGCCCGCTGTCACCAGGGGGCGCCTCCTCCGGGCAGGCTCCTCAACTCCGCTTTTGAAATCCATTTAATGAGTCACCACCAGCAACTTTATAAATCAAAATTGAACAGAGGCCATAGGAGCGCAGTACTCACTGTAAAGCAGATCTTTGTTTCATATATAGATGATGAAAAATTGAATTTACACGGGTTGTGTTCAAAAGCATGGTTCAGAGCCCAGTTGTCCAGCCCACCCTCCTCTACCACTTGACTGTGCAAATCCTGGCGGCCGTGGGAGACCCGGGGGCAGCCTGTCTGGGGGCAGCCTGGCAGCCCTGTCCCGCTCTCTGCGCCCCTCTCCCCACTCCTCCCCACCCACCTCTGTCCCTCCTCAGCCCTGCTGCAGCTCCAGCTTTCTGAGGACCAGATGGCGAGCCTCCTTCGGCAAGGGTGTTACCCCAGGACGGACCTGAAGCCCTGGGTCTGGGGTCCCTCACTTTCTCCCTTTAAATAAGCACCCTTTTAGGCCCTAGGGAATCCCTGAAGACAGAGGAACTTAAAGTTCTCTTCTCCCAGGAATCCGAGCTGCAGAATGAATAAAAAGCCAAGCACACCTAGAGTCTAGGAGGCGGTGTTGAGGGCACTAGTAGGAGTGCGTCGTCGGTGGCACCAGCTCCGCTGCTTCTCTGCCCTGCCCTCCCTCTGGGGCCGCCCTGGGGACCCAGACAGAGTTTGGCCCCATGGCCATGCCTGGGGCCAAAGAGGTGGCTGAGCCTTAGGCTTTGTGCCAGTGGAAAGGCCCCTAGTGAAGCTCCTGTGGGTGGCAGAGTCCCTAGGCTCTCGGGCTGCCACTGTCTCCCCAGAACTTCCTTGGGCTTCGTCTCTTAACCTGTCAGTGCTCAAGGAGAGAGACCTACGTGCTGATTTTGTGACCGGTCAGGAGAGAGGGGGGTGGGAACCTTCCTTCAACACCCCCATTGCTCTAGAGCCACACCAGCACTTGTAATTGTCTATTTCTAATTTTAGTCTTCCTAGTGGGTGTGATGTGGCATCTCACTGTGGCCCCAATTTGCATTTCCCTGATGGCTAATTATGTTGAGCATCTCTTCATGTGCTTATTGGCCATTTGTATGTCTTCTTTGGAGAAACCTGATTTATCAAATTTCTGATTTGCAAATATTTTCTCCCAAAGAAAGAAATAATGTCTTTCATTCTTTACCCAAAGGCTTGGCACAGAGATAGAAACAGGGCCAGAGATTTATTTCAACACATATATAACAAGAAAAGGGTTGAGGGCTGTTTGGAGGTTTGCACTTCAGGGAAATGAACAATTTAATTCTTACCTGCTAACCTGCTTACTTTGGGGGCTCCTGCCTGGACTCTTGTCTGGGTCAAGCATGAGACTGGGACATGCTGGCCCACAAACATGAGTGACCCCCTGAGGGCAAGCTGAGCCAGGAGGCAGTGTGACACCACCCAGGCCTGCCCGTTCTGACCGGGAGCACCCACGTCCTGAGGGGTGACTGGGGGCCGAGTGGAGGCCAGTCAGTGATTTCACATGCAGCGGCCTGTGGCGAGTGTTCTGAATTAGCCCTGCGGAGGTGGCCTGGCAGACGCTACTCTCAGCTGGTCCTGAGATGGCATGGGGTTAGGGAGAGGGCCACCATGCCCGGGGAAGGGAGGGAGCCTTGCTTGGCCCCATGAGGGCTGTTTGGGATCCTGTAAGGTGTCTTGATTTGTAAAGATGGAGTAAGATTCTCCCTCCAGACCCACGCTCCCCAGGCTGCGGGCGGGGCGCTTCCCTCACCTGCACCCCCACTGTGCGGCCCTCCCACTGCCCACCCACCTGCCCGTGGCCTAGAAGACAGGCTTGGCTTAGACCAGGGCACACGTCTTCGAGGACACAGAGGAGTGGAGTCCTCACGATTGTGCTCTCTCCCTCCCTCCACCCTCTAGAAATCAATGGCGCCTGTTCTGCCTGTGGGGGGCTGGTGGTGCCCCTCCTCCTCCCAGACAGAGCTGCCCCTTCCACACCTGGCGACACTCCCCGGCCCTGGAACAGCACCTCTGTCATCACCCACATTTCCCAGCCCCCGTCTCATGATGAGGAGGCTTGGGGCTTCCCTGGGCCAGGCCCCCTGGAAGTTGGCCTGGCAGACCTCAGGGCTGGCCTATCCCCCAGCGTGCCCCTCACAGACAGACTGAAACACCTCGGCCTGCCCCCGCTGCTGGTTCTGCCCACGCGGTGGCCCCCGATTCCATCCCCAGATGCGGACCAGACTCCAGACAGATTGCTCAGGGCCGAGCGGGCTCCCAGCGCCCCAGGGTGCTCCCGGTGCCTCCATTGCCACAAGGCCCATCACTCGCCGGCCAGGCTGGCCAGGCACCGGCAGCTGCCCTGCCAGCTCTGCTTCACCTGCAAGTTCTGTGACAAGGAGTGCACCAGCCTGGGTGCCCTCAAGATGCACATCCGCACGCACACACTGCCCTGCCTCTGCACCATCTGTGGCAAGGCCTTCTCCAGACCCTGGCTGCTGCGGGGCCACATCCGCACCCACACAGGTATGGTCTGCGTGGTGCCGGAGGGGCCTGGGCTAGGAGAGGGGAGGGGCCGATGTCACAGGCCAGAGGGACCCTCACCCCCAGCTCTGCTCCCCAGCGTCCTGAGGCCGCCCCCCAAGTCCCCATAAACCGGGGGGGCTCAACCCATCAGACATGTTCTCTCCTGGTCCTGGAGCCGGGAGTCTGTGATCTAGGCACGGGGGGCCCTGTTCCCTCCGGAGGCTCCAGGGGCGGGTCCTCCTCCCCTCCCAGCTCCTGGGGGCCCGGAGTGCACCTGGCTCGTGGCCACATCCCTCCGTCTCTGTCCTCCTCGCAGGGCCTGTGCACCATGTGTGTCTGGACCCAAATTCCCCTCTGGTTATGAGGACCTCTGTCATATTGGATGCAGGTCTGACCTCATCTTAACCACATGTTGTCCACAAAGTTCCTACTTTCCAGACACGGTCAGGTTCAAGGCTTAGGGCACGGACCTATCATTTTGGTGGACAAAATCCAACCCCTAACACCTGGCCAAGTGCAGGATGCATGGGGCCTCAGCAGGGTTTGACCGCTCACACTCCATGGCCTTTCAGAATTCTGGAACAGGAGGAGAGGGAGGAGCTAGAAAGGCGTGGCTGGGGGTGAGGGCCCCAGGGTCACGGCCTGTCTGAGGGGCAGAGACACCCGGCAGCCCCCAGGGTACGGAGAGGCGCAGGTGCGGAAGGGACACAGATGTGGCCGCTCACTAGAACTTCAGCCTCTCCATGCAGTCGAGTCATTGCTGCTGCCCAAAAAGAGCAGAAGCGGCCCGCTGTGCCCAGGGGTGGCCAGGGGCTGGATGGGACCCCCCTCAGGCCTTCACCTTGAGTCTGGTGTTTTGTCAGACCCACCATGAAAGAGCACAGAGACAGAGCCGTGCAGGGAGGGAGTGCAGAGGGACAGCGGCACCAGGACAGAGCTCCAGCAGTCAGGCTCTGGTCCGGGTGGCGGGCCCACAGTTGCAACACACACTTTCTGTAATCGGAGCCTCCCTCATTCCCAAGTCACAGCTCCGTGACTAGAATCTTCTGAGTCACTCTAGGGTGGAGGCCGGGGAGAGGATTCACCAGGCTGGAAATCCCTGCGATGTCCCCGAGCGCCCATCACACTGTCGGGGGCTCGCTGCTCTTGGCTGGGGAGCCACGAGGGCAGGAGGTCCCACAGAGGCCGACCTGCTGGGGAACGTACTAGGGTGTCCACAATGGGGGCTGCAGGCTCGCTTCTCGCAGGATTCATAGGGTGCAGGCTGAAACTAGGCGCACTGCTTCAGCCCGCCTTTGAAGTGGACTCGGCAGGAGCCCAGCTGGGGTCTGCCCCTGGCCTTCAGGGGGTGGGTACAGCTGCAGGAAAGCTCCCAGAGCTGCTCACGGCCCCCCAGCCAAGGGCCCCAGAGAGAGAAACATCTAGCAACGGAGGTAGATCCAGCAAAGACCTGTGCCACAGCTGTCCTCTTAGGAAGGGCTTTAGATACTGCAGCCCTGCCGAGTGTGACTCTCCGCCCCGTCCCTCCCCGTCCCTGAGCGGCTCCAACCTTGGGTGTGAGCCTGGCCTCTGGGCCCTAGTGTTTCCTCCCGAGGCAGGTGCTAAGGCCCCCTGTCACTTGCCTCCCAAGAGGGCAATAGAATGCAGCAGACTCACTGGGGGTACTCTGAGTGGACATTTGGAGGCGGGGGTCAGGGCTGGTCATTTATGAACAGGGACACGAGCCTGGGGATGCTTTCTGTGGCCACCCCAGATGCTGGCTTACTCGGCCGCCCTCTCCCCCAGGAGAGAAGCCCTATGCCTGCTCTCAGTGCGGCAGGGCCTTCGCGGACCGCTCCAACCTCCGGGCCCACCTGCAGACGCACTCTGACACCAGGAAATACCAGTGCAGCTGCTGCGCCAAGACCTTCTCCCGCGTGTCCCTCCTGCTGAGGCACGAAGAGTCCGGCTGCTGCCCCGGCCCCTGAGCGGGGCTGGTGCAGGTAGGAGGGCAGGACCTCACCCAGTCACCAGCTGGCACCCCGCCTGGTGGCCCAGTGCTGCCTGGTGTCCTGGGAAGGCAGGCCTAGCCCCCCACCAGCCTGCTGCCGCCTGCTGCTCTTCGGACCCAGAGAAGCCCACGGCCTGCCATTCTTGTCTGGGTCAAGTGTGGGAAGTGCTGGCCCCCAAATATGGGAGTGGCCCCCAAATATGGGAGTGGCCCCCAGAGGGCAAGCAGAGCCAGGAGGCAGTGTGACACCACTCAGGCCTGCTGGTCCTGACTGGGAGCACCCACGTCCTGAGGGGTGACTGGGAGATGACTGGGGGCCAAGTAGTGATTTCACATGCAGGGGCCTGTGGCTCTGAATTAGCCCTGCGGCAGGGGCCTGGCAGACGCTTGGAGGACTGGAGTCCTCACCTTTGTGCTCTCTCCCTCCCTCCGCCCTCCAGAGATCAGCCGGCCCTGCCTGCCTGCGGGGGGCTGGTGGTGCCCCTCCTCCTCCCAGGCAAGGCTGCCCCTTCCAAACCTGGCGACCCTCCCCAGCCCTGGAACCGCACCTCCGTCACTGCCCACATCTCCCAGAACCCTTCCCCTTATAATGAGAAGGCTTCGGGGGGACCCTGGGCTGGCATGCCCCTCAAAGACAGACTGAACCACTTCAACCTGTCCCCACTGCTGATTCTGCCCACGAGGTGGCCCCAATGCTGGGCCCACTTAGGGGAGAGGACTGCTCCCCCAGGGAAGACTTTCACTAAAATGGGAAGTGCCATTTCGAGGACTGTGGGGACGCTGCCGGCGCAGACAGTTCCTGTTGTGAAGCTGAGGCTGCCCTTGGGTCCCCCCGGGGCAGATCTGACTTGTGCAAACGCATCTGAGCCGTCTGCCCCCAAGGCAGAGCCACCTCCACAGTACTGTGCCCACCTGCAGCTTGGGGTGTGGCCACATGGACTGAGTCTGAGCACACACCCCTCCCCTCCTCACTGGGCTGTCCCTGAGGTGAGCGGCCTCGGGAACCCAGCAGCTGGGACTCAGGTGCACAGGGGTGGGGCTGCTGGGCCGGTAAAGGGTCCCTGCACCCGGACCTGTCCGCCACAATGCTGAGCCTGGCCAGCCGCAGGGAGCAGCAGGGGCCCTGGATGATCTGGGCCCTTGTGCCCTCAGAGCAGGGCCCACCGGGGTCAGGGCATCAAGCTGCGACGTGTCAGGAATGAGGAGCAGGGCCGGCGGGAGACGGGGTGGGGGCCGCTGCACCCAGGGGAGCAGAGACCAGAAATGGGAGCAGTACTAGCAGCGGGGCGTGAGCTCCTGCTGGCGGGGAGGTGGCAGAGAGAAGGGAGGAGGCCAAGGCCGGAGGAAGCGGGCGGTGGGGGGCATGTGTGCAGGGGCCCCACAGCACTCCCCTCCCGGGGCCCAGAATCTGACCCTGGCTGAGGCACCCACCCCTTCCCAAAATGGCTCATCAGACCCCACCCAACTTCGCAGGTGTGGTGGCAGCTCCTGCCCCCGTTGGCAGGCCTCTTCCCACCCCCAGGCCATGGGGTGTCGCTCACCGGGCTGGGCCTGCGTGTCTCGGCTGCCTCTGGCTGGACCCTGGAGGGTGTCACTCAGGAACGAGGCCGGAGTCCAAAGGAGACCGGCTGAGTCCTTGACACGTGGGGGGGGGGGGCACCCCGCTGCTCTGCAGGGAGGCCGCCAGCAGCCCCACGCCGGCCCCAGCTGCGGTACGGGGTCAGGCGCCTTGGCCCGGCCCTGGCTGGAGCCACGCGGCAAGGGGCAGGGGCCCCCACTCAGCCCTCGCCTCCTCCCCATGTGAGAGGACAGTAGGAGCATTGGTGGGGACCACACCAGACACAGCCCACGTGGGGACTGTCCCAGGCCCGCGGCACTGCCTCCCCTCAAGGGACAAGATGGGCTGAGCTGCAGCTGGGAACGGGCCCCTTAGTCAATGGGTCTGTGCGGTGGCTGCCCTAACAAAGACCCCACTGTGCGGCCAACAGCTCTGGGGGCCGGAGGCCCGAGGCCCAGGTGCTGGTTCCGCTCATGGCTGCCCGGGAGGGTCTGCCCAGGGCCTCCCCCAGCTCCTGCCGCCTTGCCGCCCTGTCTGCTCCTGAGTGTTAGAAGTGCCAGCCCCCCTGTGCCTCCATGTCCACCTGGCTTCTCCCTGTGCACCCGTCTGCGTGGCCACCTTTCCCCTTTTTTCTAGGGAAGCCAGCTGTGCTGGGTGAGGACCTACCCTAATGACCTCCTCTTAGCTGGACAGCATCTGCAAAGACCCTGTTGCCAAATAAGGCCACATTCTGAGGGACTTGGGGCTCAAGACCTCAGCATGTGAATTGGGGGGACAGCAGTTACCCCCAACAGCTAATGACAACACATGGTTTTTCAAAAGATTCCCAGCGGGTTCCTGTGCGAGAGCTTACAGAGTAAAGTTGCACCCTCTCCCCTCCGTCCATCAAGGGTGGAGGGGGCCGTCCACACACCAGGAGCGCCTCCTTCCTGGTCATGGGCCCCCTCCCCAGCACATGGCCCCTTGAGTGGCTTGTGTCCACCTTCCCCTGCCCCCTGCCCTGTCCTACTCAGGGCCCTGCAAGGGGAGCGAGCAGGCCTCTGCCCTAATGGGACCCTCCTTCCCACACTGCCTCCTGAATCATGGCCCCCCTGCCCAGGGGGCTGGGCACCTGAGGCTGGGGTGCCCCCCCGACTGGCAAGCACAAAGGCTCTAGCCACCATCTGTCCCATCAGAGGGCTTTTTAAAATAGCACCCAGATGCCTGAAGGAAGCTATATTGTAAATTATGTGCTATTTCTAGGCCCCAGTATCTAAATGAGGCGACGCACCTGCTGGGCATGAAGGAAGGGAATTTCGCAAGCCCAAAATAAAGCCTTATGCCTGCCCTCCATGCCAGCCTTTGGAAAATGCTCTCATATTCATATCTGGCAGCAGAGCGGGTATTGGCGGAGGGGGTGAAGAAAGGCCCAGGCACCTGCCAGGGACCTGACATGGAATGAATGAGGGACACAGTCCACTCAGAGGGGGTGGGCTGCAGTCGGCCCCCAGCCAGCCCGCGTCCTGCTGCAGGGCCCTGCCTCACGGGGCCCAGCTGGCCGCTCAGGGATTGCTGCCTCCTGCCTCTCCTTTGCTTGGTCCGATGGTCCGTGTGGGTCGTGCATTTACAATAGGGTTTCGGAGCCCTGTCCCAACACCCCACGGAGCGCTTGGGTCTCTACCTACAGGCCTTCCCTACCCAAATTCTACTCATCCCATTTCCACCTTTTTCTCTAAGGAAGATCACACCAGTCCAGGGACATTGTCGGAACCTCTGTCCGGGGTGGGAGCAGGGAGGGAGGGACTATGGGCGGGAGAAAACCACAGGAGCCTCTGAGGGGGGCGGTGACCCCGCAGCATGGCCTGTGTCCCCAGCTGGTGGGGCAGCCACAGGCAGGATGGCACTAGGGCACTCAGGAGGCCGCTCTCCGTGAGCTCAGGCCCAGAGACAGGTGGGAGGGAGCCGTCAGTGCCAGGTCCTCGTCCTGCCCCCCACCCCCCGCGCCCGCTCCCAAAAGCAGCTGATGCACTGAAGTTATTCCTTCCTTTCCAGAAGCCCAGTGGTTTCTATAAATATCATTTTGGTTCAGAATATTCTGGGGGGTTCTCTGAAGTTTGAAAATAGCCCGCTTGTTACCGTCTATATTTGGAGAACCCACTCCTGGCATCGACTCGGGGGCTAAGCATAGCGTCTGGCAGACTTTGATGGAACAGAAGTTTCCAGGCCTCCATCACCTTGTGGATGGCAGTACATTCTGGGGAGAGCGCCCTTGCTGCCAGGATGTGGCGGAGCTGGGAGTTGCTGGCGCTAATGGCACAGGTGGCACCCCCCAGCCAGGGAAGTCTGCAAATGTGAGGTCCTCGCCAGAGCCAGACGTGAGGGGTTCTGACCCAGCTTTGTTCTGCTGTGGTCAGTTTCATCATAAAGCCTTGGTTTCTCTTTCTGTGAAAAGGAATCATTCTAAACCCTCCCAGATTTCAGGAAAGAGTAGAAAAAGACATTGAGGGTGCCTAAAATAAAATACAATTGCTAACTTCAGAGAAACCCTCAGCCTTCTTCTCTGAGAGTGCCCATTTCTCAACCGCCAGTTCTGGCTCTGGTGGCCTCCCCTCCCGGCCGCTCCCCACTCCCCACCCCCAGCAGCCTGAGAGCTGGGCTGGCCCCTGTCCACAGCGTCCTCAGCTCCTGGCAGAGGGCTGGCAGAGCTGAAGGACACGGATGGTGTGGAAGGCCGGCAGGGGACAGGGGCAGGGATTCAGACCAGGCCGTCCTGCCCGGTGGGTGGGCCGTCTTTGTGTCACCAGGGAAAGCTGGACGCTGCCCCCGCCTGGCCTTTCAGCAGCTCTCCCCACACCTGCCTCAGCAACCCTCCTCTGTTCCCTGTAGCGGGTCCTTATGGAAATGCAGCACAGCACACGGTGACATCTCTTCTTCAGAGATGAGAGGCTGCAGGGAAGGCAGCTACTGAGCCCACAGGGGCTGTTAGGTGAAATCCGTGCTCCCACCTCTGTGTGAAAAGAGGCTAGGATGGAGGACAGCCCGGGGCCTGCTGGCCACCACCCCCTCCCCACACACGTGGACAGGGGTGGCCCACCTTCCCGTGGCTCCAGTTCTGTAAGGCAGCAAAACAGAGCAGACGGGAAGAGGGCAGGGCCCACCAAGAACCCAGGGACATAGATTAAGCCAGAGAGCCAGAGAGGACACACGCCCTTTGCAGCGTGAGTTCATTCCACGTGCTCTGAGTCGGGGCTGACCTTGAGACCTGTTCCAGCTGATGCAGGTGAGGTGGGGCAGAGACACGGGACAAGCATCGTGATTCATTTTCCTAAAAATGCTGAGATGTGAATAGCATAGTGGGAACAAGAAAGACTTATCTTGAGGATAAAATCAGAGAGTTGGGGTTAGATTCCTAACATAGTCTTTGGCTACCAGCCGATGACTTACCCTAAGGCAGAGCAAGCCGTCTGAACCGATGTGTTCCCAGTACTTGGGGGTGGCCACTATCTTAGACACAAACCAAAAGTTTATTTACATAATTACCTAGAGGACTGGCTATAGACAATGACATAGCCTGTCAGCAGAGATGGACGTCATGAGACCGCCTGACAAGCCTACGCCCCGACCCTTTATCTTTATCCCGTTCTTGAAACTCCTTGACGGAATCCCAGCTTTTGGGTGCGCCTCCCCTCTCAGGTTGCCTGCACCCCTCTTTCTTGGAGCGTGTAATTTTAAAAGACTTCTTGCTACTCAAGTCATTACACTTGCCTCTGGGCTCTTCCAGGGTGTCCTTGTCCCTTTGCTGTTCCATTTTGTCCTCCAGACCAAGGAGAGAGGGGCTGCTGAGAGCTCTGATTCGGGCTGGCGAGCCCCCATTACTTGGGGGACCTAGACGGGACTGCAGCTCCGCGACCACGCTTCTTAGTAGCCTGCCTGAAAATCTCTTTTGTTTGACTTTAGAAAGTTCTCAGAACATAGCTCTCTCCACCCAGTGCTCTGGGCTCCCCAAATCCTGGGATGGTAGGGACTTAGTTCCCATGCTGTGGGGATCCAAGCGGACACTGGACGCCAGGCGACCCTGGTTTCAGGAGTTGGCAGGGGATGTGCCCTATGCCACGTGGGAGTTCCATGAGCTTCTCTTTCCTCCTTCTATTTTTCCTTCCTCTCTGCTTTATTCAAATAAACCTGCCTTTGTCTGCTTAGCGCTGGCCCATTTCTCCCTTAGAGTGAATTCACATAAAACTTCCGCTCTGCTTCCCTGATGTCTCTCTGCCCTTCAGTTCTTTGCTGCAGCAGGACAAGGACGGAGGGGAACAAACTCAACCCCCAGACAAGTTCTCTTGCTGGCGGTCGTCCCTCCTCCCATAGAACATGCACCCCCTCCCCTGTGCCAGCGTTTGCCCAGGGGGTCTTCTTGCCTAGGGGCACACGCATCGGTGGGCAGGAGTCCTGGCATCTCCCTACTACACACTCATGGAAAGGCAAGTGTGGCTTAAGAGCATCCTGAGTTGTACTGAATCTCAGCCGAGTTCTGGTCCCTTTAATGTCCCCAGTGAGTAACAGGAGGGGCAGGGAACCGCTCTGAGGCCAGCGGATCAACGGGGCATGTGCAACGTGTGCTCTGGGCTGAGCCAGCTGCCCTTCCCTGGGAGTGCATGCTCAGAGGCCACGCCACGGTGACGCAGGCAGTCCTCAAAATTAAGAGCCAGGTGAGGCTGCCACTTCAAGAACGGACCGCATGTATTGCCAGTGAGGACATTTACCCTTTCAAGAGAAAATGACAATGTGGGAAACTTCCATGTTTCAGTAAAAGCTTTGCAGCTTCCCATGCTTGGAGACTTTTCTGATAAGGAGATTCGCTACACCAAAGGAGAGCCGTGGAAACACTTCAGCACATCTGCGAACGGCGGGGCTGCTCCATCAAGTCAGGCACTTCAGGGGGTGCCCGCAGAGCAAAGCCACTGTCCCACACCTTTGTTTCAGAAAAGGGTTATTTTTCAAAAAGATATGTTAGCACGATGGGTTTACTATTGATCTTAAATAAATCTAATAAACAAGTCATCAATCAATTCAGCTTCCATACAGTCCAACGTGCCAACAGCTACTCAACTTATCTGACATATTGCCCTCAGCCCAGTGATTCCAATCCCAGGAATTTCTCCTACAGAAATACTCACACTTGCACAAAATGTGTGGAAAACCAGCTTATCAAAATATTGGCAACAGCCCCCTAGTCCACCAACAGGGGACAAATTGGACAGATACGGTACACCTGGTACCGTAACAAGGAGCCCTTTTGTTCGACGGGAACAGAAACAGCCAAGAAAAAGGTGGGAAGAAAGCTATTTGCTGGTACTACACATAACGTTGATGGAAAGGTAATGAACATCAATACTTCCAGACAGAGCCGGTGGCCCGCCCAGGTGGGACACTGCCTGTTGCATATTAGTATCTTGATCGAAGTCTGACCTTTAAATAAATTTTCATAGGGAGGGGGATTGGGAGTCAGTTTAATGGGGACAGTTTATTATGAAGCCCAGGAGGTGGAGGGCAGTTGCGGTTGCACAGAGGAAATGTAGGCAATGCCAGAGAACCGCGGTGGGCAGGTACAGGGGCACAGACCACCTTCGCCGATCTTACCGCAGTAACAAAGTCAGCGGTGTGTCTGACAGTCCATTTCAACCGTGAAGAATCCTTGCGCATATGGAGCTTGCAAAAGGGGAGAGAGGTCTGCCAGCACCCACCGCTAAGCAGTTTACCCCTCAGCAGACCCCCACCCAGGGGTCGGGGAAGGGGCGGGCCCCGGGCTTCGGGCCGCGGGAAGGCCCCCCACTTGGGGGCGCAGGCGACTCCCAGGCGGCGGCGCCCGCGATGCCGGGGCGAGGAGTGCGGCCGCGACGGGCCCCGGGACCTCGGCGGCACCCCTGCGCTGACGCCCCGAGTCTTCCGTCCGGAGTTGCGGGGGCCGACTGAGCTCCGGGCCTGCTCAGCCCCGCCCGGGCCGACGGCCCCGCCTCCTCTCTCTGCCCGGGACAGAACTTCGGGTCCACCGCGCGCACCCCGCAGCCTCCGGAGAGGTCGCCGCTGCGCGCCTGCGCGGACCCGGCAGCCGGACAGAGCTCTGAGCGTGCGCGTTCCGCCCGCTCGGAGTCGGCAGTTCGTCGTCCGATCCCGTTCATTGGCTGAGAGGTGGAACGTGTGCCGGTCCCGACGCTGATTGGACGGCGCGCGAACAGCTGGGGCCGCGCGGGCCACGCGGCCGTGGGGTGCGTCGCTCTTCGGCTATGGCGTCCGAGCAGCCGCTCGTGGCGGTCACCTGCACCGCGCCGGTCAACATCGCGGTCATCAAGTACTGTGAGTGCGGGCCCCGGCGGGGGACGCGGGCGTCCGGCACGTCCGTCCCAGGCGGACGCTTGCTGGACACGGTACAGGACCCCCTTCCCCGGGGGCGGCTCTGCTCCCAGGGTCACGCCCCCGGGGCCCCCGAGCTGCCGCCCCGCTTTCTAGCGCCTTGTCGTTTGGAGGCCTGCACTTGCGGACTTCGCAGTCGCTGTAATTTCTGGAGGTTCACCCGGGCGGTCGCGGGCGCCCGCGCTTCCCTCCCCGAGTGCTGAGCCCAGCTCCCCGGAGTGGACATTCCAGGCAGCGCAGCCAGACGTCCTTTGAAAGGCCCCGGCACACAGCGTCTCGTGCGTGGTTAACAGCGTTTTGAGACGTCAGGCTTTCAAGCTTTGCTTTGTTGCGAGTTGTGCGGGAATGCAGGTCCTGCAGAAGTGGGGCGGGTTCGAGCGTCTCCCGGGAGGGCCAGAAGGGAGATTGGAGTTTTCAGTAACTGGGCCTCCTGTTTGGGAGGAGGCACGAGGATGGTAGGCACCGTAGGGTGACTTGCTGAGTGAGTGGAAGAAGATAAAACAGAAGCCATGAAGCAGGGAAAGGGACAGGCCTCCAGCTCTGCTCTGGGTTGCAGAGCTCAGTGATGGGGGGAGCAATCCAGGAGGGCTTCCTGAAGGCAGTGGGTGGGGGGAGGCGGCAGAGAGGACCTGTGTTGTACAGTGAGAGAGCGGGATCCGGGCAGGAGGGGAGCTGTGGGATTGGAGTGGGAGTGAATGGGAAGCACTGGCCAGGGACGGCGGCAGTGATGTGCTGGGCCCTGATCCTGACTCGGCCCGGCCTGCGGTCCTCTTCCAGGGGGTAAGCGAGATGAGGAGCTGATCCTGCCCATCAACTCCTCTCTGAGCGTCACTTTGCACCAGGATCAGGTCAGTGTGGGCTGGACATAAATGCCAAAGCAGATGTTTACTAGAGGTCTGTTAAACTTTTGCTTAACATTTGGTAGCAGTAAATGCCAGACAATGAACTGTGGCATGTGGCATGCTGTGGGCACGCTGATTGCACATGCACACACAGCCCCAGGGCCTCACACACGTCTGCACAAGCCTGTGCCCCTGGTCTCCTCTGGAGCACTGGCCCGATGGCTCTGCCGGGGGAGATGGGAGCGTGGGCCGTGCTCTGCAGTGGCGGCCACTCAGCCCCAGGCCTGGTCTCCACCTCCCAGTCCCTGAGTCCCTACCACAAAGGACTGTGGTTGGAAAGGCCTCCCCAGCAGAAAGGCTGGACTGCCGCTGAGGGGCCTGCATTTTCTTTCCCAGTTGAAAACCACCACAACAGCTGCCCTCAGCAGGGACTTCACCGAGGACCGCATTTGGCTGAATGGCCGGGAGGAGGACATTGGACAGCCGCGCCTCCAGGCCTGCCTGCAGGAAAGTGAGTGGGATCCACTGGGTCAAGACCGGGTCTCGCCCTGGAAGGTGCCTCAGACTCTGCTCCCAACCCTGCTGAGCCCTGGGGGACGGGGGAGCACCTGTTAGCAGGAGCCAGTGGGGCCCTGGGGTCTGGGGCTCCTGCCCTCACAGAGGCAAGCTGCTGGGGGCAGGAGGGCCGGCTCTGCTCCAAGGCTGTCCCCTTTGCCACAGTCCGCCGCCTGGCCCGTGAGCAGAGGAGCCCCGGCAGCGAGGACCAGCCGCCCCTCTGCCTCAGCGGCAAGGTCCACGTCGCGTCAGTGAACAACTTCCCCACGGCTGCGGGCCTGGCCTCCTCTGCAGCTGGCTATGCCTGCCTTGGTGGGTGCCCTCAGGGGGACTGGGCCGGGTGCCACAGCGGCACACCTCACCCTGGCAGCCTTCAAGGAGACCCCACCCGGGGCTCATCCCACACGCCTGGCTGCTAGGCTCTCCCGGGGACTGCGTGTGTAGGACCCTCTAGGTTTCCTGTGACAGAAACCAAACTCAGAGTGGCTCAGCCTAACGGACAGCAATTTTCTTGGCTTACCTACTAGAATCCCGGGGTGCAGCAGCTCTGCTCTGGCAGGCCCGGGAACCCGTCTTCTCCCTCTGAACCCCAGCTCTGGGCTCCTCTGGGCTGCTGGCCCCACAGTGGCAGGTGGGGGCTCAGGCACACCAGGGGTGATACTCCCTGGCCTAGCTCAGTTTATGTGTCTGTGCCGAGCCACCTCGGTGACCAGGGTTGGCGAGCCAGGCTTGGGGGGCCCCACTGTTGGGGCAGAGGGCTCGCCTCCTGGACTCCTGGCTCTGCATGCCACCATCAGACCCTTACCAGGCCTGGCCCCACAGCAGCCCTGCAGGCTCTTGGGGGGGCTCTGCATCTCGAGTGCAAGCTCAGGGGTGGTCGCCTGGCAGGCAGATGCTGACCAGAGGAGCGGGGCTGACCTCATCCCGGGAGCCTCCTGTTTCCTGGGGGCATGCTCCTGGGCGGTGCTGGGTGTAGCCGGGCCGGCGCCACCCCTCCCCACTGCCTGAGCCCCCCAGCAGCCCTCTCCTGTCCCCACAGTCTATGCCCTGGCCCGAGTGTACGGGGTGGAGAGTGACCTCTCGGAAGTGGCTCGCCGGGGCTCGGGCAGTGCCTGCCGGAGCCTGCACGGAGGCTTCGTGGAATGGCAGATGGGGCAGCGGGCTGATGGGAAGGACAGCATCGCACGGCAGGTGGCCCCCGAGTCACACTGGCCCGAGCTCCGAGTCCTCATCCTTGTGGTGAGTGGGAGCAGGGCAGAGACGGTTCCCCAGCCTCGGCCGCTGGGGCCAGGCTGCACCCGGCCTGGGCCTTGAGGAGCAGCCCCTGAGCAGCCTCCCAGGAACAGCGGCCTTGTGAGTGGGGATGGGACGGAGTGGGTGTTAGGGCCTTGGGGCTGCTCCCTCCAGGCTGTCTGTCCCCGGGCAGGTGTGTGCTGAGAGGAAGCCGACTGGCAGCACCGCTGGCATGCGGACCAGCATGGAGACCAGTGCCCTGCTCAAGGTGAGGCTGGTTTGGGGGTGGGCGCTCCCCAGGGCCTTTCCTGCCCATCATGGCACACCAGGCTCCCGCCATGCCCTTCCAGCCTGAGCTCAGGGGCTCTGTCCGGCAGCCTGTGCTCTGGACGCTGAGGCCCGGGTGGGGCTGCTGCCTGGGGGCGGGGCTGGGCTCTGCCCCAAGCCTGTGCCCTGGGCACCGTACTGAAGGCCTCATCAGAGGGACTGTTCTTGCAGTTCCGGGCCGAGGCTGTGGTGCCGGTGCACATGGCAGAGATGACCCGCTGTGTCAAGGAGCGGGACTTCCAGGGCTTTGGCCAGCTGACCATGAAGGACAGCAACCAGCTTCACGCCACCTGCCTGGACACCTTCCCGCCCATCTGTTACCTCAACGACACCTCCAGGCGCATCATCCAGCTGGTGCACCGCTTCAACGCCCATCACGGGCGGACCAAGGTAAGGCGGGGCTGGGAGACGCGCCATCCCCGCCAGCTCCAGAACGTGTGGGCACTCCTACGCAGAGAGCCACGTAAATCGCAGCCGGCCCTGAGGCGGCCTCTCAGGACCTGCCTTCCCCCACGCCTGCAGGGCGTGCGTGGCTATGTCTTGCTCTTGTTTCGTTCTGTTTCTTGGCCGATTCTCTGGTGGTGTGACCCACCAGGCAGAGTGCTGGTGTGGAGACCCCTCGCCTGGCCCTGAGTTGGCAGGCACAGATGCCTTCGCTCCCCCAGTTGGTTCATCGGGGCCGAGTGGGGCCACTGTGTAAGTGTTCATGCTGGCCGTGTGGGTTCCAGGTGGCGTACACATTTGATGCCGGCCCCAACGCCGTGATCTTCGCCCTGGACGATACTGTGGCTGAGTTCGTGGCCGCCGTGAGGCACTGCTTCCCCCCTGAGTCCAACGGAGACGAGTGAGTGGAGATCCCGGGTGGGAGATGTGGAGGGCGGGGCACACCAGACTGCAGTGCTCGGTGGGGTCCTGCAGCAGGTGGCAGCACCCGCAGGATGCAGGCAGTGTGTCCCCAAGTGCCCCTCCACTGTGGCTGCAGGGGCTTCGTCTCGTCCCAGCCCTGGGGTCACGTGTGCCTGCACAGTGTGGCAGCCCTTATGTGGACAATGCCTGCTGCCTTGCTGGGACCTCAGGCTCAGATTTCTCCCTTCTGGTGGTCCTTTCGGCCCCCCATTCGCAAAGGGTGCTGGAATATGTGGGTGATTTCCCCTGTGGCCATAACTGGGGCAGTACTGGTGGTCGGGGGCCAGACCACTGATCTCCTCCCCCCAAGGGGCAGACCACATGCCCCAACCAGGTGGCGGCCGCAGTGCCCCCTGGGAAGCTCTGAGCTCTTCCCTGACACCCCGCTCCTGGCAAGGTTGGCAGGTTTCCGCAGTGCTGAAGCCCCTGGGGCAGAGCAGTAGCCGCGGGCCAGGGGTGAGCTCGGCACCTCCTGGGGGTTTTCTGAAGTCCTGCCCTCTTGGCGACACAGCTGGGCTTGGCTGTGTCCCGCCTGGCTTTGCATGTGGTAAAAGCTGCCATTTCACCCACCTTGCAGCATGCAGCCCAGGGGCATTGGTCCCTAGGCGCGTGCAGCCAGTGCTGTGCCAGGGCCCCGCTGTCCCCTGCCAGACGCTCACCTGCCTCGGTACGTCTCTGCCTTCCTTCGTCAGGTTTCTGAAGGGGCTGCCCCTGAAGCCCGCTCTACTGTCAGACGAGCTTAAAGCCTTACTGGGCATGGACCCCACCCCAGGCAGCATCAAATACATCATCGCCACTCAGGTGAGGCCCCGCACCTGGGCCTGGTAGGCCCAGGCAGTGTGTCTGCCAGCGAGGGGCCCCCCCACTCCCACTGTCTCAGGCGGGAAGCCCACTTTTTGGCTCTGAGAGCCCCTGGAGCCACTTTGTTCCATCCGTCCACCTGCTCACCGTGTGAACAGTCAAGGGTGCCCTGCAGGCTGCTGGGTGGGGCAGGGCTGGGAGGTGGAGCCCTGAGGACGCAGAGGTGCTGGGCTCCCCAGGGCCCCCCAACAAGGGCAGGTCAGGACCTTGGTCAGTGGTCGTGACCCAGGCCACAGGCTCTACTTTCCAGCCCAGACTTGCGGCCCACCAGTCTGGACGCTTGTGGTGGGACAGCAGGGTGGCGCCCCCAGCTGTCAGCCTCTGGCCTCACTAACTGGGAAGGGGTGCATCCCCATCCCTCTCTGTCTCCCTGACCTGCAGTGATTTATCTGCCCCCAGGTGGGGCCCGGGCCTCAAATTGTGGATGACCCTCAGGCTCACCTCCTGGGCCCCGACGGCCTGCCAAAGCCAGCTGCTTGACCGCTCCGGACAGGAGCCCGCTGCTGCTGGGATGAGGACTGCTTTGCTGGGACTGGGGAGCTGGGTGTGGCGGTAGCTGGGCCAGGCTTGCTGGCCCTGTGGGCGGCTGCCCAGCACATGCTGTGCCAGGCTGGGGCGTTGGGGTAAACTTTGGCACGGCCCAAGCGGTCAGGAGCCAGCCCCTCACCGTGTGCATCCCCGACCTGCACCCAGCGCTTTGCCGAGATGAGAGCTGGGAAGGGGCCAGAATCGGAGCAGGGACCTGAGGTTGAGCCGGTGGGTGTGGGCTGGCTGGCTGGCAGGCTGCTTCATGCAGCGACTGGCGGGGCGTCCCAGCGGGAGGAGCTGTGGGCTGGCCCTGGAAATAAAGGCCACCTTGCTGAGCCCTGGCCTGGCTGGCTTCCTCTTGGTTCGGACACCAGCGTTCCGGGTCCTGCTGTGAGGGCAGGGGCCGGGGAGGGCACGGTGGTGTGTATGTGCCTGCTTGCGCCTGTCCCCACCCCATGCTTGCCTTCCAGTTGCTGGCCACACAGCTGCCCCGAGGCTCTGACAGGTGTGGGATGTGGTCAGGGTCTGCGTTAAACTCCCAGCGTCCGTGACAAAGTGGGACACAGATGTGCACACAGCAGTACTGACCTGGGGCTGCTTAGCCCCAGCTCAGAGGCTCCGTGGCTCTAAAGGGCTCCCCTCCCTGTGTCCTCACTTGCCTGGGGCAGGCTTCCAGGAGAGAAGGCGGGTGGGTGGGCAGCAGAGGAAGCCGGCCGAGGGCAGGCGGTGCCACTTCTGGGTTTTCCCCAAGGCTCTGCACAACCACGCCCTCCCTGTAAGACAGACCCCTGAGCAGAGCCGTGCCTGCGCTGGATGGCTGACCCGCCGCCCTGTGCTGGCTCAGCCACCGACCTCCGGAGAGGGGTCTCCCAGGTCCAGGGCGCCAGTGGTCTGAGGTCTGCTTCCTGGTTGGGGGGTCCATCGTGTGCAGAAGTGATGGTTCCACCCCTCTAAGACCGTCCAGGAACCCAACCTGCTCACATCTTTTCTGGGAGCAGGCTCTCCAGACGCCTGGGATCCCCCTGTCTGGAAGCTCTGAAGAGGAGCTCTGCGTCCTGGGGGCGGCTGCACCCACTTCACGGAGTGGTCGCCCTGGGGCCCAGCCTGCACGTGACCACCCCGTCCCAAGTGGCCCAGGAGAGGCCTGGGGAACCCAGAGTAAGCACGGCTAGCGGGCAGGGGCGGCATCTGGCACGGATGGAGCAAGCCCCCAAAGTGGTGGCCCCCTGGCGGGGCCTCGGGACGGCACAAGGAGGAGGAAGCGGGCGCAAGGCAGCCGCTGGCCTGCTGGGCTGCGGAGGGAAGCCTGCCGCACGCGGGTCCGCCAGGAGGAAGCCTGGGGGTCGGGCAGGGCCTCGTCCAGAGCGGCCGGGGCTCCCGCAGTGCAAAGCCCGGGCTGAGATCCAGCCCCCGGCCTGGCTTCCCACCGCCGGGCAGGCCTGGCCCCTGCGGCCGGGGCGGGGCGGGG